CTAGATATTCCGCTCGAGATCTGCCGGCCGATTCGGAGCGCATATAACACCAGTCACGAAGACTTGAGCGCAGCGATGCTTTGATGTTTTCGGTCGCCGCAAGCCGTTTCGAAACGAGAAGAGCTCTCTTTTGTCTCTACGCTCTTTTTATATGGATAGTGGACTCAGAAAAATAAAGCATAGCCTTCCAGGTCTCGTCACTATTTCGTATCGAAGCCATGACAGTTGACAGCAGTCTGTTACTATTTTAGGACACATTGCTTCGCTCAGGCGGACTGTAAGGAGATGCTAGGCAAGCGTCACCACAACGCAACAATATTTCGGGTCAGGGCGTTCGTACAAGAACCATGTACAGTGCTATACATAGCTTAAGGATTGCAAGATGGTCATTCCAATAATCGAAACGGCCGTCGAGTCAACAGACATGACAACCTGAAAAAAGCCCACTGCGCAACACGAGGTAGGAATCTCAATTATATGTATATTCCAAATTGTTCGCGTGTTGTGTATTGTGTTACAGATCAATCAAAAGCCCTGACGTACTTTTGCAATAGATATTTCTTTTTGATGAAATCGGCACAAGTGTCGTCTATTTCTTCATCAAAGCTGCCTAGTTTAGTTCCGCTCAATAGTGGAGTATCAGTCGCGCCAAAGCAAATACTCAGTACTCTGACGCCGCTTTTAACGTAATGTTCTTCTAACTGTAAAACAAAAATTATGAAAATCATTATAGATCGAACTGAATTGTTTGCATCTGTACATTGCAGATCCACAAAAATAGTTCATGATGTTTTGTCTTATCAACCTGCAACGAATGAGACAGAATTCATCCGAGGTCCACTTCCACGGTGAAGGAATAACACCGTGTGATAAATATCAAACCCGCAAAATTATAATTTGCGTAATTATTGGTGGTAGAACCTCTTGTGAGTCCGCACAGGTAGGTACCACCACCCTGCTCGGGCAGCTGTTAGCAAATCCCACCCCTCTTTGCTGAGCCTTTGCTCGCCCACCTATTCTAGTGAAACTGATAAGGCCTTCGGATCACCATTAATCCTTAAATCATAAAAAACCTGCCTATTTCTGCCGTGAAGCAGTAATGCGTTTCGATTTGAAGGGTGGGGCAGCCGTTGTAATTATACTAAGACCTTAGAACTTATATCTCAAGGTGGGTGGCGGCATTTACGTTGTAGATATCTATGGGCTCCAGTAACCACTTAACACCAGGTGGACTGTGAGCTCGTCGAGTTGGCTTTAAAAACTTTCATGAAATAAGTCGACTGGAAAGCTCCTTACCCCAATACAGTTGCTGAACTGCAGCACCGCACTCTTGGTCCCGAAATAAATCGGGAACAGATGAGATTGACATAACGCTGCCACTGAAGATATATTTAGAACAGTACCTCCTTTACCGCCATTCTGCTTTCCCATAATCTCTATAGCTTTCAGTGTACCAGTAACTAAAGCAGTNACTCTTGGTCCCGAAATAAATCGGGAACAGATGAGATTGACATAACGCTGCCACTGAAGATATATTTAGAACAGTACCTCCTTTACCGCCATTCTGCTTTCCCATAATCTCTATAGCTTTCAGTGTACCAGTAACTAAAGCAGTCTGAAACGTTCAAAAATTACCATTAACTTACATTTGTTAAGAGGGAGGATTTTTTTAATTTTTGAAGCGCTATAGGATATTATTTGAAGAGCACATGGGTTTTTCAACGTAATTTTCATTATTGAACAAATAGATGGGTGCTACAAAGGAACACCGACAACTCAGAAATCTATACAACAATAAGAAATCTGAATATTATTATATAACCCAAGCTCAAATTGGAATGTTAATTATTTCGCAGTAGTAGTAACTGTAAAATCGCGTTTTTCATTGTCGTACTCTATTTCCGACTTATCAAATACTTTACAATTATCACGGGAACAGATGACGGTCCGTAAAGTGTAGAGTAGCTTTAATTGTGCCTACGACCCGAGAAAACCGAAGAAAATATGATGGTATTGCAGAAAAAATATACATAATTGTGAATTTCTATTATAATATAACATAATAAAAGCCTAATATAAACCTTTACAGTTAATCCCTCTATAACACGATTGATAGGTTCCTACAAAGTCCTGTATTGTGCTAAATTGTGTTATAATTATCAGACTAGAAACCAGGACAAAAAGGAGTGTGTGATCATAATACATAATGTCATTTTCTAAATAATTTTAAACAAAAATCTCGTTATCGTGTTGTAAAAATATAATAAAAGAAGGTTTTAGGGAATTTTTCTTTTCGTGTCAGAGTGGAACCATACTGTAAAATACCGTGTTATATGAGGGTTACCTGTGCTAAGAATAAAAACTCACTCATAAATACTCACTCTTCTTTTTCTTCACCTTATCCCACTAGGTGGGGTTGGCACAACTAATTTTTCTCTTCCATTCTCTTCTATCAGCCGTCAGCTCAACACACAATCCTCTCTCTCTCATATCCTTATTCACACACTCCATCCATGTCTTCTTCGGTCGACCTCTTTGTGCACTACTATTTCCATACATCTCCTAGTCATATGCGTCTTCTCTCTACGCATCACATGTCCATACCACGCTGACCATTAGCTCTTTAATTTGTTGATTACTGCGGCTACTTTCACACCTCCTCTGATAATAATAGATAAGATTAAGAATAAAACTCACTGACCACATTTATATCGATTTGTTTTTTGTAAGATTTATAGCTGTCGTTCATGATCGCGGCATTGTTGATGACCACATCAAGATAGCCTTGTTCGTTTTTGATAGTATCGAATAATTCCAAAAAAAGGTCTTCGTCAGTTACGTCACATTTGTAGAACTTCACACTGTTGGGACCGTATTTTGTATTGAGCTCATTCTCAAGAGCTCTTCCGGAATCCTCGGCAACATCCAAAACAGCAACATGCTTTAAATAAGATTACGTAATTAAAAATTACAGAAAATATTTTACTTTAGTGTTATAACTTATAAGATTTTATTCTAATCTAATCGCGCGTTTTTTGTTGTAAAATACATTTTACTTGATGAATTACGTAATTAATTATGGTTGAATTAATTTTGTAATAATAAATTTCTGCTCACAAATTGTTTTAAAATTAATTTAATTACTGTACTCTACTGCTGTTTCTATCTATTTCATCGCTTACTTTTTCTAAATTATGCAAAGGATCGATACAATTAATGTAAGATAGCCTTTATTCTATTCTAATGAGAACAGAATAACAAATGGCTACCGAATTAGCGTGACACGTGCATTAAAACATGCATTAAAACATTTATATTCCTCCAGTGATCAAATGTTGTTGCCTTTGCCTATAGAAATATTCTACCTTGACACCTCGCTCCAACATAAGCCGGACAACTCCTTCGCCGATACCGCTTGCGGCACCAGTGATAAGCACAATTTTCCCTTTCCACGACTCCATCACACAGTGTTCAACTTAAAAATGTATTCAAACAACTATTAATTCGTTGTTCAGATAATATTTTATCTCCGAAAAATAAATATCAAAGCTTATTGGAATATATGGAATATGAAGCATTAGAACACTGTTATCGAGAATTGTGACTTACATAGTACATATAAGTCGCAGAATGTAAGCAGTATAAAGTCTTCGAATAATTTAGTATAACATGATGATGTCATTTGCATTTTTGGTTCATGTTAACAAAATAATAAACATATTTTTTTACAAAACGAAAACAACCGCAGAGCCGTCGAAATCAGTTAAATATGAATTTGTAAGAAAAATATCATCAAAAACAGCACCGATCGGATAGATCCGACATGACGACGGCGACTGTGGTTCGGTCGTCTGGATCGGTATGTAATTTGGAGTGGACTGGTATATGTAAAATTAAATTAATCCGTAAAAATCACTTTACGGAATAATCTTGCTATTTTTATTATTATTATTTCTTGTCCTGGGTCACGTTGGATGCAGGTGGCAACGGACCGGCCGCACTGGAGATCACTTGGAGAGGCCTATGTTCAGCAGTGGACAGTGGACAGGCTGAGATGATGATGATGATGATTTCACTATTTGGTTCCATCGTTTCGAATACTTTACAGTTTTCGTAGTCAAGTTCGCAAAAGTAGTTTAACTATATTAACTAAGACTCTCGAAAGCCGAAGAAAATATTACAAATTTTATTTATTTCAATAAATACTTCAACACTAAACGCACCGATGCCATTAGCACCGCCCATAACAATTACAATTTTGTCGTTTACTTCACTCATAATACCTTAAATATGACTACTGTAAAACGTTAGTAGCTATTTAAATAGTTATTGCAAAATACTCCACACTTTATATCTTATTTAAACAACTGTCACCACAAAAGTAGTGAAGTATTGAAAATAAATTTATTTACACCCTATTTACTTTTTGTTGTGAGATTGGAATGTAGACACAGACTTAATTCGAAGAAGAGGTTCTCAATCTGGGGAGTATACACTTATGAATTAGAATCTAACTCTTTTTGTTATCCTAAACCCTAACGGGACTTTTATGAGATGTTGTGACTATAGCCCTTAACTTTATTCATGACGTGGCAAAAACTTCTTTCAATTGGATGAACGGTTAGTTCTCCTCTTGATGTAGCCAATTTTTTTAAATCCAAAGAATTGACTGTCCTTCGACCCTACGTATCAGGTAGGGGTGGCATTACATTTTCTATGATTATGGTAGCAATTTAAGAGCCAGTAACATCCAGAAAAGACGTCCAAACTCCGAATGTATTCGATTTCCAAAACCGTTTTATAACTTCCATTCTCTGGTTTTTATAAGTTCCAGACATAAATTAGGAAAAACACTCGTAAGGTTTAATTTCTCGTTTATTTATTTATACAATTAATAATTCCCTTCGGATATTATCGTGGCTACAAACGATTGTATTACGTTAACAAAATAACAATTAATTAATTTTGATATTGACTAAATATAAATATTGAAAGAAAGAGTTAAGTATTGTAAAGTTTTTCAAAATACCTAAACTAAACGCTCTGACAATATCTTATAGGCTTCGTTTACATTTGATGTGACATCGACCGCTGGGCTATCTTTAGCTACGAGCCAGGTGCTACCGCTTTCACCTTTCTTGATTGCTTCTATCGCACCTTTGGCTGCTGACTCTTTTCTGTTAATATTGAACATTAATTAATAAAATAATTAACAGAACTTACTGTGAATTAATAGGTTAACCACTTAACACCAAGCAATTTATTATTGGACGTGAGCGTAGTTGAAGCGGATTCAAGATTATGCAATATAAAAATAATTGGTGTCAAAACCTTGAAATTTTAGCTCAGGTTTTAAAAGGTATTAGACTCGGGATCTCGAAGCCGGTACGGTCACATCTGTTGATACAAGTAACGAAGCATTAGATTGCTGATATATTAATACAACATCAGCATTCTTGGAAAACTAAATTCATCTGGGCACTTAAGCTATACGCATACTTACGACTGCATGGGATATAAATCTATAATCTGTTGCATATCTTTGTTAATGTTTTCATCAAAACTTCTCAGGTTATTGTAAATGCCAGTTTTCGTGACCCCAAAGCACACAGAATGCGCACTCCTGTTTTACTGTAATATTCTTCCCTCTACAATTACAAAAATCTTAATGAGTACAAAATTTAGAATTCTTACAATTTATTTTAATTGGTAAAATTTCCATAAGCAGGCCATGACTATTGCAAATTGAATTTTTAAATTGTAAATCACTTTAACATTGTTTTTAAATGACAACAATTGTACAACACTGGAAGTGCTCACCCCAATGCAATTACTAAATTGCAACACAGCACCCTTTGTCCCCGTGTAAACAAATAAAGCTGGCGCATGCTGACACATACAACCAATAGATGAAATATTAACAATCGTTTCTCCGTTACCGCCTTTGTCTGTGCGCATAAGTTCTAAGGATTTCAATGTTCCATTTACAAGAGCAATCTGGAATGCAATAATATTTTTTTCACTAATTGTTCGACTGTCGACAAGCTTTTACTTACATAAGGATCTTCTTCCTCATTTCTTCTTCGAACCGTATTCACGTTGTGGTTTGATTTAGTTTTACGATTAGTCCCTTTTTTTCTTTAATCGACTGACCTTGTTTGCATTAATTTTACATTTACATATAATCAACCGTACGTTGGTAAGGAGTGCTTCGACATACCGTGGTAATACTGCTACTATTTAATGATTATGGAGTAGTTAGAATTCGTGAAGATTGACGTCTCATAATGTATACATATTTGAAGATTATGCACATAGTTCGATCAGCTATCAGTACAATCCTGAAATATCCGGATGTTTTATTAATGTCGAGAGCTTAGGTCGTATAGTAAAATGATTCAATGGTCGAATAACTCGCATACCGTAAAATGAAATAGATATATAGAATAAAGATCACCATTAAAAAGGAGCAGATTATGGGCGCATATTTAACAACTGAAATCCACTTATCGCTAAGATATAAATCCAAGTGAAACAAAGTGCTAGATAATGCCTCAAGATAATGATAGTTCTTTCTATAAGGAAAATTTAAATATCATAAATAATTTCATTGGAAAATTTCCAGCTATTAGCAAAATATTCAAATTTCGATAAAAAACTAAGCTGGCTATAAACGCGAAAACTGTAAAAGTATTTGAAGCATCAGAATAAATTGAAAAGATTTTTTTTTTTATTGCCTTTGTAGGCAGACGGGCATACGGCAACCTGATGGTGAGTGGTTACTGTCGCCCATGGACTTTAGCAATGCCAGGGGCAGAGCCAAGCCGCTGCCTACCGCTTAATACTCTCCATAAGCCTCGTTTGAAGAAGGACATGTCATAGCGCTCGGGAAACACCGTGGAGGGGAGCTCATTCCATAGCCGGATGGTACGTGGCAAAAAAGATCTCTGGAAACGCACTGTGGATGACCGCAGTGGCTCCAGGTAGTATGTAATAGAATAGATGCCTACGAATAAATAAATTATTTATTCGTAGATAGATGCCATTATACAGCGTTAACTTACATTTAATTATGTGTGTGACTCTCGAAACACGAAGAAAAATCATATTGCATATTTGTTCGTTATTCATAAACTTAATTTATATCTTGTTTTGCATTTAGCATCTCCATAATACTTACGTAATTAACCTCAACTTCTTTTCTTATTGCTTTTGGATCTGATTCATTGGCTATCCCAGCATTATTAATAACTAGATCAATATATCCGATTTCTTTGACAATCCCAAAAAGTTCTTCATTGACAGTGACGTCACACTCTATGAAATTTACTTTAGAATTAACATATTCAGTCATCATTTTATCCTGACGCATTTCACTCGCTTCGACATCTGTGTCCAAAATTGCAATAAACTGGAATATTCATAATTTTATCCCACTGATAAAATTATAAATTACTGAATTATTATATTTATAAATATTAAAAATGTATAAAAGTATTTTCGAGAAAATATTCCCTATATTATGGACTTGCAAATAAGTACTTTTGTATTTGCAAATAAAATATAATAAATAAAAGATAGTAAATTCCTTTAGTAAATGTTTAATAAATCACATTTAAATGCATTTTAATGATGTCAGTTTCAGGAAATTATTTAGTTCCATCTATAACAATAGCCTTAATATCTTCTTCGAGGAAATTTTGAACAAAGCTTTCTCCTATCCCATTAGCACCACCAGTAATAATTATCACCTTATCTTTTAAATAGTACATTTCAATAATAGTTTATTCAAAAAATATATTGAAACTTTCGCTTTTTTTTCATTTAATTAGTTTGTGGATATCTATTCAAATACTAGTCATAGAACTAGAAATATACATCCTTGTCCCAAATACATTGATCGTATTTTTATAACACGTCTGTTGAGCGTACTTGCAATGATACCTACTGATTTAATAGGATGATGTTAAAACGATAAAACATTTTTTAATCGTAATTATCGAACAATCACGAAGAACAAATTTTCAAGGAAAAATACTCGGTCCGGATTCTCTCGGCGTTAACTAAACAACACCACAAAGTAAAAAGAAGTAGCTTTTTTATTTTTTATATAGACAGCGAACAATGTGCAGGTCACAATGTGGATGCTGCCATGATGGGACATGAGGATTTCAATTCTATGTATAAAGCCTTGTTCGGACTAGGCGAGTATTTTAGTCGAGTACCGAGTAATTTAGTGGCTAAACTACTCGCTATTGCACAGAAATCGTTCGCATTACGGTCCAGTAGAGTACACCAGTGAGTGGTGTTTTGCAAGATGAACAGGCTGCAACGCAATAGAGTGAATAAACTGATTAAGCTAATCGTAATGGAATTAGAAGAGGTACATGAGGAAATTTCTGTGATTAAGAAAAATAAGATATGGGTACGAAAATGGATCGATAGAAGAGATAAACTGGGAGCTACTAAATGTCTTTTGAAGGAATTAGCATTGGAAGAGATCCCAAAGAATACTTCGATAGTTTGAGAGTGTCCGAAAGTTGTGTGAATTTTCTGTTAACGAAAATACACTCTCAAATTCAGCGCAAAGATACCCATTTGAGAAGTGCCACTAATGAACGACTAATCAACAGGTTTGGACTTGTTTAGTCAGTGAGCCAGTGAGAAAAGACGCGTGGTGGGAGGCGCTACTCGCCCGAAAAAATAGAACAATATGGATTGACTTGACTAAATTATTTACTAACTTACTCGACTAAATTTTTGGTGTTCAGACACATTTAGCTACTAAATTACTCGGTACTCGACTAAAATACTCGCCTAGTCCGAACAAGGTTAATAGCCGGCAAGCTTCTTGAGCATTAGTTGACGTAGTGGGGAAAGTTTGCGCATGGTACACTCACGTACAAAATCATTATTATTTTGTGTCATAGTTCTATTAGGGTGTTAAAAACAACATATGTATTTATTTATATATTTATAAGAACATCAATAAAAAATATAGGTTAATAATTCTAATAATGTAATCTTGGGGTAAAATAGATATTCTTTCTATTAGGTCAAAACTAGGTCAGGCGCTAGGTCTTGGTTCAGTTGAAGCGGAGCTGGTATTTGTAATTTTTTCTTCGTTATCATAATCTTGACCATCATCATCATCACTGTTTTCATCACCCGAGTCGATAACATCGTGATGAGTCGAGATAGAGCTCATCGGTGTAAACTAGCGGACTTATTTCTTGTCTATATTTAATATTTTTTTTAAGATATTCGATTCGTAGTAATCGAATGTTACTTTTTTCAATTACTACCTTCCGATTATTTTCTGTTTTTTTCCCATCTGAAGCCTAGCTAGTACGGAGTTTCGCTACTTGTTATGTGGTTACTATGATTACATCTTTTCATTACAGATTAGTCGAAACTATCCATTCCGGTAACTTTCTTCTTCCCTGATCTTTTCTTACCCGGAATCTGAAACATGGCGAGCAAGCCAGAGCCCTTAACTTCGTTAATAATGCACCTAACAGTACTCACTGATGTTTTTGTTGCTTCCGAAGTCTGTTTCACTTTTTCCATATCATTCTTTCTCGTTTTATAATGAAGCAATATACGTCGTACACAATTTTTCTAGCCTTTCTTTTTAATACTACACCAGTTTGTTGCGGCATAGTGTATTTTTTATAAACAATCAACAAACACTCAACAAATAGCAAATGACAACAAAGTCAACAAGCAATTATAAAAAAAAACTTAAATGATTAATAACGATAAACTTTTCCCTGTACGCAAGTGTACTTTTGGGAGCAAGCGGAACCACGCGGAACGAAGATGCGGTGCGGAGTGAAAGGTTCGACTGATCTATCAATAACACGCTCGATACGATCTCCTCTGCCGTCGCGCCCCGCCCTCACCACCAAAGTGATCTAAAATTCCGTTCTGCGCAGTCAAGGTCATTTGCTCAAGAAGTTTGCCGGGTTACGCTGTCACACTCCACAAACCACACCTCCACAACATATGCCCCCTCAGGGGACCTACTCTTCTAACCACCCCCGTCGGTGGTATTCGGTTCATCCCCGCTCCGGTCTTCCCTTTCTGGGGTTGCCCTTAATAGAGTGTGAATGCCTAATATGAGACGTAGCCTCCCATCTAAGTTGTGAAGGTGATGCCCCGGCATGGGGCCGGAGGCGGGCCCTGCCCTGACTTGCTGACTGCTGTCGAATATATACTGTAAATAGTAGTTGTAGTTATTTACTAGTGACAAAAGTTTTAGTTAGTATAGAGAAGAAAAAGAAGAGGACCGCAGTCAGTGCCGGGTCGTGATCATCTCCGGACAGCACGCCGCCGCGCGAAACTAGCACGTTATATTTTGTATATGTATTTATGTGCCGATGTTCCCCCATTCCTTTAATAAATTGCACCCTGCATTATTTCACCCCGGCCCTGTGTGGCAGGGAGTATGACGATCCTGGTAGTATACAAACCAGAATGCATTACTGCTGCAAAAACAGAAAGGTTGAGGAACTTACTAATTTTGTTCCCTACCCAAACGTCGGCAACAGTAGGAAGGGGATATTCGAACTACGCGCGGACTGGTGGATATGCTCACGGGGCTAAACCTGAGAGGACTTGCTAGCACTAGCCGTAGCAATGCTTCGCTGAATCTACCACCAAATCGGAGTTATGATCCACCGAGAAGCTCCAGCGAGAAACTTAGAGGACTATCGTGCCACGCCACTTTCTCGAGTAAACGTGTTAACAGATTCATCACGTCATAACAAAATTTTATTTTAGACAGATCTGAGAGAAAAAAAGAACTTTTTAATGTCAGCTCTAATTTATTAAAGACACATAAATTTTTCTTCACTTTATTAATATAAACAGAGTTTCACATATTACTTTAATACTGTTGCGGTCAAGAGTTTGTACGCCTCAGTATGTACGTGCGTGATGTCTTCAGCTGCCTTGTTAGCATTGGCCAGCCAAATACTGCCACTAGATCCTTGTTTATAAGCATCTATAACTGCCCTAGCGGCGGATTCAATCCTAGAAAAGGGATACAGAGTGAATTTATTATATTTGAATATTTAATAAATTTAATTATTATATTGAGTCTTCAACTTTGTTCGATAGTCACTACTCAATAAATGTAGGCTTGAGGATCTTACGCAAAAACAGTATTTCTACGTATTCTCCAAATGACTTTAGCTCCTTCAGCTAAATGTTCTCCATCATCTAGTAGTACTGATATCTTATAATAATAGTAATAAAATCATTTATTTTCTTAAATTTAGATTTAAATTGTTACAGGTAAAAAATTGTAGACAAAATGATGCTATGGGAAGTGCATGCATCGGATAGCGCTAATTTTCGATCACCCCCGTGCCCTGTATTGCCGTATCTAAGACTATATAGGTACGTGCACAGACTTATAACGTGGCATAATCTATAAAAGAACAAATAAATAATAATAAAACAAGTTGAATACGACAAACATACACAAGATGATTTAAGGCAGGCTTGGGAAAACAAATCCATTGACTAAGCATAACTACTACTCAAAATTTACAAAAGTTTTAACTGTAGACTATGCCCGCGCTACAATCTGTAAAGAGCCTAAGCAATTAAGAAAACTTAAGTGTATACATATAACTTCAATATAAAGAATCAAATATAAAAAAGGGTGCGTGTACTTATGTACGCGCGTAAGAAGTTATATATATTTTATATATATTATATATATATTTTATTAAATTTATTTCTTTGTTTTTTTAAATATTAAATAATTAATAATTAATATTTAACGTTAATAATTTAATAATATTTAGTATGAATTATATTAAATAATAATTTTGTCATTTATATTACTAAAAAATGAATGCTAATTCAGACTCGCCAAGTTACGTCGGTCGTATTGTAATGAGTGATTTAGTGGGCAACTTCATTCTGTTAATTTTGTGTCACGATGCGCGCGCATCGTAAAATTTCACTCTCATCAATTTTTCATAACGCGCCTAAAGAAGTATAACTTCAATAATTCTTATTAAACATAATTATATTAAGCAGATTAAAAATAAAGCATACACTCTCTCTTCTTTTACAGAAAACAAACCTTCAAATTATCCTATTCTATGTAACTGCTCTCCTAACCTATTTACGTTCCATTATTTATATGAAATAGAGATAATTACCACAAAGTGGAATTTTGCATAAAGAAAATAGTCGGCGGGGTCATATCAGGCTGTTCGACAAAACTTGTTGAGTTTTTGAGCTAAAAGTCGTTCGTACTAATAGCCATGTGAGATGGTACGTGAGCATATTGAAGCAATGCTGACTATTTTGACTCGTTCTACTATGTCTTAAGTGACCTTTACACATTACTAATCGAACGGCAACACATTTTATGGAGTTTTTTTTTATTTAAAATAATATAAATGAATTCGTAAAATATATTTAAATTTCGGTAGCTTTCTCTCTCCGATTTAAGCGAAGTTTTTCAGTATTCATAATAATTAGCCTTAGAGCTAGCTTTACTTTTGTCTGGGATATAACTTTAAAGGTTCACCGAGTCTGGCTGTAGAAACAGCTTCATCGAAACTGTTCATGTTTTCAATCGCAATAAAAACAATATTTGTCGCACCGAAGCACATAGCTAATACACGAACTCTAATTAGCCTTAGAACTAGCCTTACTTTTGTCCGGGATATAACTTTAAAGGTTCACCGAGTTTGGTTTCTATAACTTCATCGAAACTTCCCATGTTCTCAATCGCAATAAGACTAGTATCTGTCGCACCGAAACACATAGTTAATACACGAACTCCAGTCCTCGAGTAGTAATCGTCTGCCTGCAAAATGACAATAGTTGGCTTATTTAATTTGTTTATTAATGACTGTACAGATAATAATATTATAATTATTAAAATAACAGCTTCAAGTCCCTGTAAAGTTAGTTACGGATTAGATTGTACTTTTCGCAAAATTTAGGGGACCTAACATAGAAAAAAGGATTTTCTCCCTACAATTGCATCTTGCTTTAACGGATTGTTCGAATCCTTTCCTTTGTCCCCAGTCCTTTGATTTAGACCTATTTGTCTAAAGTCGACCCGAATTCAAAAGAATTATCACACACCATTGTTTTTATTTGTTACTGTTCAACTATTTCGATTTTTGAAGCTTTTTTGTGCTTTTGAATCTTTTGATAGAAAGGTGAACAAGCTCATCACCCACCCGGTTTTAAATGTTAAGTTACCGGACGTCACTTCGTGAATTCTGCCCATCCACCTAGAAACTTGAGGTGTATGTCTTGATTCTATGGATTACCATAGAATTATATTACTAAATTATTACTACCATTATTCAATGCAAAGTAATTTTTTTGCAGTTTGAATTTTTAGTAGGTACACGATGTTACTCCTTCATCGTGGAAATTAATCTATAGAATAAGTGAAGCAATATTTCATTACAAATTTAGTACTTCGAGTATATCAAGCCTTTTATCTTTTAGGCCACGATGATTTTATGACGAGATAAGCTTCGCACTATTGCGGGAACATTTAAATGGTTGTGAAATTTATATGGTGTTGCATAATTCGACATATTTTTTTTTTGTTTCCAATAAACCAAAATAAATCAAAACATACAAAATTCTATGGCAACAGTGTCAGTTCATAATTAGCCGGGCGAATAAAGCTAGTAGACACTTAATCATACATTTCAGTTTGCACGTTGTTTGTGGAAAAATATTCCTAATATCAGTTTTATCGACATTTCAAATAATACCGTAACAATCTGCAGCATTAGATAGTTTTAGCGTGTGATTACGATTTTCTATTCAGCTCATCGCCTTCTCGTGCGTAGGGAATGGTTAAATAAATTTGCAGTTCATCAAAAACATTCTGAATGTTAGATAAAATAACACAACTAATTTAAGATTATATAATTACAACTATATTATCGGTTTAATCTATAGTTTATTATTGTTATTATTTTATTTACGACGTATTAAATACTTAATAGTTTTCATGTTTACCAACGAGTGTTATATTTTGTATGTTATATAACTNAAAAAAAAAAAAAAAAAAAAAAAAGGTTTGGAAGACAAAGAGCCATTCCTTGTCTATTTTGTATGCATGTCAAGTCCAAAGTCTCATCATCAGTCACAATGTTTTGCGATTGTGAGATTAGAATCGACTCGTTCTACTATGTCTTAAGTGACCTTTACACATTACTAATCGAACGGCAACACATTTTATGGAGTTTTTTTTAATTTAAAATAATATAAATGAATTCGTAAAATATATTTAAATTTCGGTAGCTTTCTCTCTCCGATTTAAGAGAAGTTTTTCAGTATTCATAATAATTAGCCTTAGAGCTAGCTTTACTTTTGTCCGGGATATAACTTTAAAGGTTCACCGAGTCTGGTTTCTACAGCTTCATCGAAACTGTCCATGTTTTCAATCGCAATAAGAACAATATTTGTCGCACCGAAGCACATAGCTAATACACGAACTCTAATTAGCCTTAGAACTAGCCTTATTTTGTTCGGGATATAACTTTAAAGGTTCACCGAGTCTGGTTTCTACAGCTTCATCGAAACTGTACATGTTTTCAATCGCAATAAAAACAATATTTGTCGCACCGAAGCACAAAGCTAAAACACGAACTCTAATTAGCCTTAGAACTAGCCTTACTTTTGTCCGGGATATAACTTTAAAGGTTCACCGAGTTTGGTTTCTATAACTTCATCGAAACTTCCCATGTTCTCAATCGCAATAAGACTAGTATCTGTCGCACCGAAACACATAGTTAATACACGAACTCCAGTCCTCGAGTAGTAATCGTCAGCCTGAAAAATGACAATAGTTGGCTTATTTAATTTGTTTATTAATGACTGTACAGATAATAATATTATAATTATTAAAATAACAGCTTCAAGTCCCTGTAAAGTTAGTTACGGATTAGATTGTACTTTTCGCAAAATTTAAGAGACCTAACATAGAAAAAAGGATTTTCTCCCTACAATTGCATCTTGCTTTGTTCGGATTGTTGAACGGATTGTTCGAATCCTTTCCTTTGTCCCCAGTCCTTGGATTTAGACCTATTTGTCTAAAGTCGACCAGAATTCAAAAGCATTCTCACACACCATTGTTTTGATTTGTTACTGTTCACCTATTTCGATTTTTGAAGCTTTTTGTGCTTTTGAATCTTTTGATAGAAAGGTGAACAAGCTCATCACCCACCCGGTTTTAAATGTTAAGTTACCGGACGTCACTTCGTGAATTCTGCCCATCCACCTAGAAATTTGAAGTGTACGTCTCGATTCTATGGATTACTACAGAATTACGAGTATATTATCACACCATTATTAAATGCAAAGTAATTTTTTTGCAGTTTGAATTTTTAGTAGGTACACGATGTTACTCCTTCATCGTGGAAATTAATCTATAGAATAAGTGAAGCAATATTTCATTACAAATTTAGTATTATCATGCCTTTTATCTTTTAGGCCACGAGGATTTTTTGACGAGATAAGCTTCGTACTATTGCGGGAACATTTAAATGGTTGTGAAATTTATATGGTGTTGCATAATTCGACATATATGTTTTTTGTTTCAGATAAACCAAAATAAATCAAAACATACAAAATTCTATGGCAACAGTGTCAGTTCATAATTAGCCGAGCGAATAAAGCTAGCAGACACTTAATCACACATTTCAGTTTGCACGTTGTTTGTGTAAAAATATTCCTAATATCAGTTTTATCGACATTTCAAATAACACCGTAACAATCAGCAGCATTAGATAGTTTTAGCGTGTGATTACGATTTTCTATTCAGCTCATCGCCTTCTCGTGCGTGGTTAAATAAATTTGCAATTCAACAAAAACATTCCGAATATACAATATTATACAATTATTTAATTAATAATAATTTATATTAATTTAATGACAATTTATAAAAATAATAATTTAATTAATAATATTACACAACTAATTTCAGATTATATAATTAAAACTATATTATCGGCTTAATCTACAGTTTATTATTATCATTACTTTATTTCCGACATTTCGAATACTTAATAGTTTTCGTGTTTACCAACGACTGCTATATTTTGTATGTTATATAACTTTATTATCGTAATCCGTATTTATAAATTATACACCTCGAAGTGATAATAACGTCAATAACAATGGCTTTAGTAGGGCAATCGCTTTCAAAAACAAAGACGATGGACAGTACTTGTCATTCGTACATGATAACAAAAATCGCATCATCATAGGTTGTTTATAAATTAAAAAGAAATGTAGGTTTGTATGTTTGTTTATTCGTAGTCTGTGCATTCGCGTATTGTTTTCGCAAAAACTTTAAACCTAGTAAAATGTATGATACAGCCGCAAGAAAAGTATCCCTCTTGTCACGGTAAGTAATAGGTACATAGGATATTGCTGGAGTAATTTAAAACGAAACCACAACGGTAAATGTATTAGTAAATCAGCGAGATTTATACTTACGCCCAAACATACACTAAACTGCATCACGGCACTCTTAGTGGCATTGTAAATGGGTGTAAAAGGTAATGGGCAAAGAGCTGCAATTGAAGACATATTGATTATAGCGCCACCTTTGCCCCCTTTGTCTTTCCTCATCAAATCAAGGGCTTTTAATGAGCCAGTGATCACAGCGGCCTGAAAGTAGAGAATTTACATAGTGCGGACTTCATACTCATTTGCCCATAGATCCAACCCACTGGAGTTTCCTCTGGAACTCCTCAGTGGGTCGCGGTTTCGATTCGGTGGTATATTCATCGAAGCACTGCTTCTGCTAGAGCTAGTTTATCAAGTTTTCTCAGGTTGAGCCCCGTGAGCTTACCTACCCGTCCGCGAGTAGTTGGAATAGCCCCTATCGACGAATTGGTAGGAAAAAGTAAACAAAAATATTTGGCTTTCAGCAGTTTGGGAACCTATCAAGACAATAATGGCAATTAAAACTACTTGTACGGTTTAATTTCACGTTTATTATTGTATTTATATTATCTGCGACATTTCGAACAGTTTTCGTAGACCTGAAATTTTCGAAAGGTTCGAAATATGTATGCCATTATACATTATATTAGTTTTATTGCTATTATACATTATAATTATATTAGTTATTATCATCATCAAAACGCGAGGTTAAGCCGTACAAATAGTTTTACCATCATTAGTGACCCGCGAATAATGTACCGAAAAAAATATCATTATACGATTTTTTCCTGAATAAATTCAAAATTTCACTTGTGACATATAAATAAATGATATTAATATATTTTTTGTTCACAACACTCTGATAGAATGCATAAGTTAGCTCACCACATTAATATCGATTTGTTTTCTGTACGTCTTCAAGCTATCATTTAGTATAGCAGCGTTGTTGAGGACAACATATTCGTTGTTTTTGTCCGATAAAATAGCTTCGAAGGCTGCCACTAGGCTTTCGTGATTAGCAACATCGCATTTAATGAATTTCACTTTTCCAACTCCGTGTTTGGCGTTCAGTTCGTCTTGAAGCGATTTCGCGTTTGCTTCGTTGATGTCCAATATATTAATTTCCTGGCAAAGAAAATTAGAATCACCTAAATTTATAGCATTAGAATATTTACAGCGGATTGATGTCTTTTTCATGGGTACCTCAATTATGATTGATGATTTCTTGTTCTCTTGTTTTTCGTATAGTTTTGTGCTATTTTACGATTACTATTTAATTAACAAATTTGTTTGAACGGTTATTATGATAGGGTTGTGGTATTAAATAAAGATGTTTTGAAGTTAGGTGTTCTAAAATTCATCACATAAATTGTGTGTTACTAATAAAATTTAGATGAGAAAAAAAAAGGTTTTTTTAAAATACAATTTCTAACATAAACATTAATTAATAGAGTTTACCTTTGCCCCTTCCTCGAGTGCAATCCTGACTACATGAGATCCGATCCCATTGCCCCCTCCAGTAATCAGAACAACTTTATCTTTCCAGTCATATGTCATGATTATTTTTAATGTATTCAATGCAAGAGGCTATTCCACAAACTGCGAGGCAAACTTTTTAAAAGTAGGACACTTATATATTTTTTTATCTAAACTTGATAACTGTACTTACGCGTAGATTAAAGAACGCCCATTATCAATCATTTTCGTACGTACTAAGTATAAGAAATAAAAACAAAACGCGGTTTTAAATGAAGTCCGAATTCCAATTCAAAATCATTGATCTCAATTCGGATGTCATTGAACATTGTTATCTTAATATAAATAAAGAAATAACCGCTTTTTACTACATGCATATGAATATATATACGGTACATACACCAAAATAACATTTTTTACAATTTTTGTCTGTCTGTCAGTCTGTCTGTTTTTCTGTTTTTCCGGCTAATCTCTGAAACCGCTGGACCGATTTTAACGACACTTTCACTGATAGGTAGCTGATGATATAAGGAGTAACTTAGACTACGCTTCGCCCCGCGGCGTGACCCGCGGTACGACAATAATCGCAGGTAACATCGCGGGACTCAGCTATCAATAATAAAATGTAATGTTTCCGAAGCAAAGCTAGCGTGTAATACTACTATTTAATTGTAGTCATAAGCGAATGACTATTTTACTCTACAAATGTAAACTTTGACTTTGACTTTTTTACGTTGTACGAGGTCTCGCGTTGTTGAGGTCTCGCGTTGTTGAGGTCTCGCGTTGTTGAGGTCTCGCGTTGTATGAGGTCTCGCGTTGTATGAGGTCCCGCGTTGTATGAGGTCTCGCGATGTAGTAGGTCTCGCTTTGTATGAGGTCCCGCGTTGTATGAGGTCCCGCGTTGTATGAGGTCACGCATTGTATGAGGTCCCACGTTGTATGAGGTCTCGCGTTGTAGTAGGTCTCGCTTTGTATGAGGTCCCGCGTTGTATGAGGTCTCGCATTGTATGAGGTCCCGCGTTATATAAGGTCTCGCGTAGTATGAAGTCTCGCGTTGTATGAGGTCTAGCGTTTTATGAGGTCACGGGTTGTAGTAGGTCTCGGGTTGAATGAGGTCTAGCGTTGTATGAGGTTCCGCGTTGTATGAGGTACCGTGTTGTACGAGGTCCCGCGTTGTATGAGGTCCCGCGTTGTAGTAGGTCCCACGTTGTACGAGGTCCCGCGTTGTATGAGGTCTCGCCTTGTATGAGGCCTCGCGTTGTATTAAGTCTCGCGTTGTATGAGGTCACGCGTTGTAGTAGGGCCCACGTCGTATGAGGTCACGCGTTGTATGAGGTCCCGCATTGTATGAGGTCCCGCGTTGTATGAGGTCCCGCGTTGTATGAGGTCCCGCGTTGTAGTAGGTCTCGCGTTGTATGAGGTCCCACGTTGTATGAGGTCTCGCGTTGTACGAGGTCACGCGTTGTAGTAGGTCTCGCGTTGTATGAGGTCTCGCATTGTATGAGGTCCCGCGTTGTGTGAGGTCACGCGTTGTAGTAGGTCAGACGTTGAGGTTGCAATCGTGAAAATTCATATCATCTCTAAAAGTAAGTTTAGGAAAGTGGAAAGAGTCGTCGTGGCCTAAAGGATGAGACGCCCGATGCATTCGTATGTAGCGATGCAACTGTATTCGAATCCTGCAGGCGGGTGGGTACCTACCAATTTTTCCAATGAAATACGTACTTAACAAACGTTAGCTTTTGATTGCCACGGTTAAAGAAAAACATCAATCATCAAACCCGCAAAATCGTAATTAGCGTAATTACTAGTAGTATTGGATCCGCACGGGTAAGTACCACCACCCTACCTATTTCGTTTTGATGGATTCTACTGTAAAAACTGAGACTTAATACTCATGTCTCAAGGTGGATGGTGGCATCCAGTAATAATTTAAAACCATACGGGCCGTGAACCGTCTAAGTTATAAAAAAAATACAACCACATTATTAATTATTACTTTATTTCTTCTTTAATAGTACATTGTGTATTGGCAAACACGCGGGATGAGATGTCCTACTTTTTTCCCGCGGTCCACATACTATTTTTTCTCCTACCAGGCCGAAAGTTCGACATTGTAAAAAACTTAGCACCCGTGGAGTACCGAGCCGGGGTCCAGGGGCGNCCGTCTAAGTTATAAAAAAAATACAACCACATTATTAATTATTACTTTATTTCTTCTTTAATAGTACATTGTGTATTGGCAAACACGCGGGATGAGATGTCCTACTTTTTTCCCGCGGTCCACATACTATTTTTTCTCCTACCAGGCCGAAAGTTCGACATTGTAAAAAACTTAGCACCCGTGGAGTACCGAGCCGGGGTCCAGGGGCGATGCCCTGTCGGGGGGTTTGGAGGGGCGGAGCCCCCCACACTCATAAAAAAAACCAATTTAACTGTTTTTTTATTTTTAAATAAACTACTACTAATTGAATAAGAACTGTCTGATGAACTCATCTTTGTTTAATACTTCACTATTAAATTTTATTGCCTTTTGTTTATTTCACTTTTACACTAAACATAATATTGCAAATTACCCGAGCGCAAAAATGGCGGAGAATTTTAGGTGCGTGAGAGCAGACGTAGACACTAACGCGCATGCGCATTTGTCAGTACCCAGGGAGAATAAGTTAAACTTTCTTCCCTGTATAGCGGGACGAAAACCGAACTTTCGGCGTAGGTAGGAGAAAAAAAACATTCAATTGAAAACGTGATACGATAAAAGTTCATAAGCCTTTTTAACTGTATCAGTGATGTTCTTCGCCGGTTTGTTTGTTGTGATGATCCAAGTGTCGCCACTTTTAGTGTGCTCATAGGCCTCGACCAGACCTTTGGCTGCAGATTCCATCCTGGAACGTAGACAAAGAATTGTTTTTTTATTTTTTTTCGGAGGATTTGTTAAATAAATGCAGCGTTTAATGGACTTCGGTTATAAGAACTAAGAGATTTAATATTCACATAATCGAGTAAAAAATTTTAATAGGAGCTTTCTCACCTCTCTCCCTTCCTCTCCCTCTCTCTCTCTCTCCCTCTCCCTCTCTCTCTCAGTAACGCTACCCTTTAAACCTTTTTATGTCACTAAAACCGTAACCATCAATACCCTGATAGAGTAACCCCTCCCCCACCAGCATCCCGTCCTCTCCATATAGAATGTCTGAATCGGATACATGATTTTATCGTGTGAGGAAATTTTCATACATTGCACGTAGATAGTTTAGTAGTAGAAGATATTTTTGGTAAAATGTAATGATACATGCTTGTAAATTTCAAAAAAGGAGAAGTAATTTAATATCCTTGTATAAATCGATGTACTTATTATACTTCTAAGTCAATAATAGAAAGCTAATGGGTTAAGTTTTTTTTTTTAGCCCCCCTGTGTAATATCATACAAAATGGCCCGCGTGGTAGCACCGCGCAAGGTATGTCAAAGTACACCATTAATCGATGTCCCTGCGTTGACGTAGGAAGGGTAAGCGCAGTCAACATTGCATCGTGACTCAAAGCTACCCCAAGGTCGCCTGACTGACGGAATCGTCGGCAAGCGACGAACGACTCATCGCGGATGGCTACTAATCAGACCACACAGGTACTGCCGCTGGTGTTTCTAGATATTCCGCTCGAAACCTGCCTGCCGGTTTGGAGCGCATATAACAGCAGTCACGAAAACTTAGAGCGCCGCGATGCTTTGATGTTTTCGGTCGCCCCAAGCTGGTTCGAAACGAGAAAAGCTCTCTTTCGTCGCTACGGTCTTTTTGTATGGATAGTGAACTCAGAAAAATAAAGCATAGCCTTCCAGGTCTCGTCGCTATTTCGTATCGAAGCCATGACAGTTGACAGCAGTCCGGTCCTATTTTTGTGACACAACATTGCTTCGCCCAGGCGAACTGCAAGATTATGCTAGGCAAGCGTCACCACAACGCAACAATATTTCGGGTTAGGGCGTTCGTACACGAACCACGTACATTGCTATAGCTTATATAATATAAGGGATGCAAGATGGAAGACATGACAACCTGTAAAAGGCCCACTGCGCAACACTAGGTTCAAGTCTCATTTATATATATATATATTTCAAATTGTTCACGTGTTGTATATGGTGTTAAAGATTAATCAAACAAGCCCTGACGTACTTTTGAATAGGATAATTGTTTTGGATGGCCTCAACACAAGTGCCGTCTATTTCTTCATCAAAGCTGCCTAGTTTAGTTCCGCTCAATAGTGGAGTATCAGTTGCGCCAAAGCAAATACTCAGTACTCGGACGCCGCTTTTAGCGTAATGTTCTTCTAACTGTAAAACAAAAATTATGAAAATCATTTTATAGATCGAACTGAATTGTTTGCATCTGTACATTGCAGATCCACAAAAAAAGTTCAAGATGTGTTGTCTTCTCAACCTGCAACGAATGAGGCAGAATTCATCCGAGGTCCACTTCCACGGTGAAGGAATAATAACGTGTAATAAATATCAAACCAGCAAAATTATAATTTTAATGCGTAATTACTGGTGGTAGAACCTCTTGTGAGTCCGCACGGGTAGGTACCACCACCCCGCCTATTTCTGCCGGGAAGCAGTAATGCGTTTCGGTTTGAAGGGTGGGGCAGCCGTTGTAACTATACTGAGACCTTAGAACTTATATCTTAAGGTGGGTGGCCCATTTACGTTGTAGATGTCTATAGGCTCCAGTAACTGGGTAGTTCTTTTGACGTTCAACAAGTATGTACTTTCATTTATGTTGAATAAAACTTTTTTGATTTGATTTGATTTGATTTAACCACTTAACACCAGGTGGGCTGTGAGCTCGTCCACCCACCTAAGCAATAAAAAAATAAAAAAGATGTCTTAATATATAAAGACAATAATTGTGCAATTTATTACTTTGCGGGTACTATTCTTAATTCATTTTATTCCTTAATCTTTGGTGCCGTTGATGAATAAAAATCGGCGATAAGTCACACGAAGTCATCTACCCTCAAACTAGGATTCCCTGTATTATGAAAACTGAGACAGATATGAGACAGATATATATAACCGTATAAGTTTAAAAATATACAATAAATAACCAGACAATGAGCAAAGCAACCTGTTGATCACAATGACATGAATGTTTGCCCGATGCAGGTATCGAACTCAAGCCCTCGTCCCAAAAGTCNTGAGTTATCAGTTTTTTATTAACTATGGCTTCCAATACCTTGCCAAACCCAGACAGTATGGAGACAGGTCGATATTGGGCTATATCATCCAGCCTCCCATCCTTGTGGATCGGTGTTAAGTGCGCTAATTTCCACTGAGTGGGGTAAGCACCACTTTGGAGAGATTTGGTATAAATTTTGGCTAGAGGTTTATATAAACATCTACCCTCAAACTAGGATTCCCTGTATTATGAAAACTGAGACAGATATGAGACAGATATATATAACCGTATAAGTTTAAAAATATACAATAAATAACCAGACAATGAGCAAAGCAACCTGTTGATCACAATGACATGAATGTTTGCCCGATGCAGGTATCGAACTCAAGCCCTCGTCCCAAAAGTCAGGGGTGTTAATCACTGCACCACCGAGTTGATCAACTAATACGAGTACGAGTTAGCTTTAAAAGCTTTCATGAAATAAGTCGACTGGAAAGCTCCTTACCCCAATACAGTTGCTGAACTGCAGCACCGCACTCTTGGTCCCGAAATAAATCGGGAACAGATGAGATTGACATAACGCTGCCACTGAAGATATATTTAGAACAGTACCTCCTTTACCGCCATTCTGCTTTCCCATAATCTCTATAGCTTTCAGTGTACCAGTAACTAAAGCAGTCTGAAACGTTCAAAAATTACCATTAACTTACATTTGTTAAGAGGGAGGATTTTTTAAANATGAAAACTGAGACAGATATGAGACAGATATATATAACCGTATAAGTTTAAAAATATACAATAAATAACCAGACAATGAGCAAAGCAACCTGTTGATCACAATGACATGAATGTTTGCCCGATGCAGGTATCGAACTCAAGCCCTCGTCCCAAAAGTCAGGGGTGTTAATCACTGCACCACCGAGTTGATCAACTAATACGAGTACGAGTTAGCTTTAAAAGCTTTCATGAAATAAGTCGACTGAAAAGCTCCTTACCCCAATACAGTTGCTGAACTGCAGCACCGCACTCTTGGTCCCGAAATAAATCGGGAACAGATGAGATTGACATAACGCTGCCACTGAAGATATATTTAGAACAGTACCTCCTTTACCGCCATTCTGCTTTCCCATAATCTCTATAGCTTTCAGTGTACCAGTAACTAAAGCAGTCTGAAACGTTCAAAAATTACCATTAACTTACATTTGTTAAGAGGGAGGATTTTTTAAACTTTTTGAAGCGCTATAGGATAAATTATTTGGAGAGCACATGGGTTTTTCAACGTCATTTTCATTATTGAACAAATAGATGGGTGCTTAAAAGGAACATCGACAACTCAGAAATCTATACAACAATAAGAAATCTGAATATTATTTCGATTAGAAATCCAATATTATTGAGACAAGTATACTTAACACAAAATATATTACACGCAAAGAAGCAAGAGTATTGTATATTCAATATGGAGTACTGTATATTTGTTTAACACAGAAATTTCTTTCTTTGTACAACGTTTTTATCTACCGTGATAGAAGTCTAGATAATATTTAGATTTTTATGATTTCAGTGTTCACACTGCGCAGACATTACGTCACGTTTATTGACGTAGATGGGTAAATTATATAACTCAGGCTCAAATCGGAATATTGATTATTTCACAGTAGAAATAGGCAAAAAGGTAAAGAGAAAACCGAAGAAAATATTATAATAAAATATTATGATGGTATTAGAGACAAATTACACATCATTGTGGATTTCTATTATAATATAACATAATAAAAGGTTAATATATGCCTTTACAGTTAACCCCCTATAACACGATTGATAGGTTCCTAAAAGTCCTGTGGTGTGTGTGTGTGTGTGTGTGTTTGGTTTTTTTTCTTCTACCTATGCTGATAATCTTGAGAGGCTATTTCAGCGTAACCTTAAATAGTAGGTGAGCTCGTGGGACTCAAACCTGACGACGTTACTAACACTAACCCTAGCAAGAGCCGTCCTTTATAGAATGTACCACCGGATCGGAAACGCGACCCACTGAGAAGATCTGACGAGAAACTCAGTGGGCTGTGTCTGTAGGTTGATAGCATAGCATAGGTCGTGACGGGGCGTATGCAAGTTTTGTAGAGTGTCACCTTACTTCTACGGGACAATTTACTTCGTATGCAAATCATCGGATAGAGGCGTCCTAGTATGAAGGCGGCACGGGCGCGTACCGTCTTTAGGTGGGGGCAGAATGTCATCCCTCTATCGAGGGTGACGCCTAAGTATTTGACTTTCAGGGCCCACGGTATGGGTTGGTCGTACATCATGATTGGGCGAATGGCGGAGGCGGAAGTGTTAACGCGCCTAGTCGAGAGTGGGCTGTGCAAAATCGTGTTATAATTATGAGACTAGAAGCCAGTACAAAAAGAAGTGTGTGATCATAATGCATAATATCAGATAATATCATTTTCTAAATAATTTTAAACAAAAATCTCGTTATCGTGTTGTAAAAATATAATAAAAGAAGGTTTTAGGGAATTTTTCTTTTCGTGTCAGAGTGGAACCATACTGTAAAATACCGTGTTATATGAGGGTTACCTGTGCTAAGAATAAAAACTCACTCATAAATACTCACTCTTCTTTTTCTTCACCTTATCCCACTAGGTGGGATCGGCAAAGCTAATTTTTCTCTTCCATTCTCTTCTATCAGCCGTCAGTTCAACACTCACTCCTCTCTCTCTACTGTCATTCACACACTCCATCTATGTCTTCTTCGGTCGACCTCTTCGCCCTCTACTTTGCATTACCATTTCCATACATCTCCTAGTCACATGCATCTTCTCTCTACGCATCACATGTCCATACCACGCTAACCGTCCGCTCCTTAATTTGTTAATTACCGAAGCTTCTTTCACACTTCCTCTGATAATAATAAATAAAAATAAGAATAAAACTCACTAACCACATTTATATCGATTTGTTTTTTGTAAGATTTGTAGCTGTCGTTCATGATCGCGGCATTGTTGATGACCACATCAAGATAGCCTTGTTCGTTTTTGACAGTATCGAATAATTCCAGAAAAAGTTCTTCGTCAGTTACGTCACATTTGTAGAACTTCACACTGTTGGGACCGTATTTTGTATTGAGCTCATTCTCGAGAGCTCTTCCGGAATCCTCGGCAACATCCAAAATAGCAACATGCTTTAAATAAGAATACGTAATTAAAATTACAGAGAATATTTTTTTAGTGTTATCATTTATAAGATTTTATTGCAAACTGATTGTAATCTAATCGCGCGTTTGCGATTTTTGTTGTAAAGTACATGTTACTTGATGAATTATGTAATTAATTTTGATTGAATAAATTTTGTGCTAATAAATTTCTTCTCACAAATTACTTTAAAATTAATTTCATTACTATATTTTACTGCTGCTTCTATCCATTTAATCGCTTACTTTTTCTAAACTATGCAAATGATTGATACGATTAGTGTAACACTCGTATAGCTGTATTTGTCATTCTGTTCTAATGAGAACAGAATAACAATTTTTTTTTATTGCTTAGATGGGTGGACGAGCTCACAGCCCACCTGGTGTTAAGTGGTTACTGGAGCCCATAGACATCCACAACGTAAATGCGCCACCCACCTTGAGATACAAGTTCAAGATACAAGATCAAATGTTGTTGCCTTTGTCTATAAAAATATTCTACCTTGACACCTCGCTCCAATATAAGCCGGACCACTCCTTCGCCGATACCGCTTGCGGCACCAGTGATAAGCACAATTTTTCCTTTCCACGACTCCATCACACAGTGTTCAACGTACAAATGCATTCAACAATTAATTAATTGTTCAGATAATATTTTATCTCCGAAAAATAAATATCAAAGCTTATTGGAATATTTTGAATATGAACCGTTAGAGCTCTGTTATCGCGAATTATTAGTCACATAGTACATGTAAGTCGCAAAATGTAAACAGTATAAAGTCTTCGAGTAATTTAGTATAACGTGATAATGTCATTTGGTTCAACGAATCTTTGAACATGATTTTGACCCCCTTCAAAACGTCGGATTAACTCGAAATTTGGTATACTTATTAAGGAGCGATGACAATTCAATATTTAAAAAAAATATGATAAAATTGAAAATCAACTAAAAAATGAAAAATAAATTTTTACAATAAATTCACGCTTTTTTTTTAAAATAATTCATTCTTTCTTACACTATTTTTAATTCAAATTTATTTTCTATCTTTTAGTTGGATTTTCTATAAAAGCGTATTTTGTTAGTTTTTTTAAAACTATTTTTTTTTTAAATAAAATGAAAACAGCCCCAGGGCAGTCGAAGTCAGTTAAATATACATTTAAAAGAAATATATCATCAAAATGGATTCAGCTAGAAAATAGTGGTGAGACACATAAAAACACTGTCGAAATGAGAACTTTCTCCTTTTTTTTGGAGGCGGTTAAAAACAAAACTCATACAAGAAGCTAATGCCAAAATCTGTACTGTATATTATACCATTAAACTTCATACAAATTCCACAGAAATTATTATAAACTAGCGACCCGCCCTTGCTTCGCTTCGGAAACTGTAATTCATTATTGATTTCTCCACTACTTAATGGATATTTGTAATCGAGCAGCATCAACATCAATTACATTACAGACATTGTAAACATTGCATATAAATCTCTGAATGATATTATAGATGTTTTGTTGTTGATCTAAATTTTCAATTGATTCGCTGCTACGGAAATTCTTGAAAGCTTCCTGGTACTCTGGATTTTTTTTAAATGTTTTGTATGGTTTTAATTTTCCTTTCCTGAAGAACGCAGGATAAATCCCATAAATGACAGCTGATGTGCAGTAGAAGATCGCAATAGACTAAGCACTCTATCTCACTCACACCCGCTTGAACAGTTGCTACCTCGCGCTCGTACCTACAGCGGGCTCTCAATGTGTCCGGCAAGATGTAAGAACCATTAAAACTGTCTGGCCATTGGGGTAACATATTTTTATAAGTCCCTTAGTAACATATATAAAATTCAGCTTTTATAGTATAACGGAAGTATAATTAAAATTTATTAAAGTTTAGGGGTGTCTGGCAGGGGGTAGCAACTGTAAAAAGTGTCCGGCAATGGATATCGTGATTTCTAAAGATATTCTGGAGTAAATAATAAAAAAAAAACTTTATACTTTAACGAATTTAAGGTACTATTTTATATACATTTACTACCTGTTACCTGCCAAAGTAACCACAATCGGAGCTCTATAGTCGCGGGTCGTTCTTACCGCTTCGTTGGAGACATACAAAGAGAAACTTTCAGCTTTTATAAAATAACGAAGGTCTGGCTGTCGCGGGCTCTTGCTCTATTATCTAAGGGTACTTCAATACATAAATAAAAAATAAAAAGTAATGAAGATACGTTTATTTACAATTTATCTAAGACTTATTCAATATGCACAATCTTTTACACAATTATCTCTGTCTGAACTTGAATAAAATGCATTATTAATTTTCAATGTTTAAGTTAAAATGATTGTTCTTATTTCATGCCCCGCAATGTAACGCGAACCTAATAAACGCCTTTTCTCTCGTGATCGCAAACATATCTAAGGTATAGGTTAGTTTGTTTACGCGCGTAACTAACTGGTTCTTCATTTACGTTACATTGCGTGCGATGCAAAAAGAATCAATGAATAATGTACTATAAACTAATAAGCTTTTAGTACAAGCTAGGGATCACACGTTCTACTGGTGGTAGGACCTCTTGTGAGTCCGCACGGGTAGGTACCGCCACCCTGTCTATTTCTGCCGTGAAGCAGTAATGCGTTTCGGTTTGAAGGGTGGGGCAGCCGTTGTAACTATACCTGAGACCTTAGAACTTATATCTCAAGATGGGTGACGCTTTTACGTTGTAAATGTCTATGGGTTCCAGTGACCACTTAATACCAGGTGGGCTGTGAGCTCGTCCACCCATACAAGCAATAAAAAAAATATCTCATAATAATTCATCCTGTTTTATAAATATACGAGTCCTCAAAAAACGCAAAACCGATATTAAAGTCTATAAACATTCTGAGAAAGAATCTGATAGGCTTCGGCGACCGACCCGCTGATCTCTTGAACCGGCAAGTTATTTACAACGAGCCATGTACTGCCACTCTCACCTTTCTTGTAAGAATCAACGAGGCCTTGAGCTGCGGATTCTTTGCTGTAATATAAAATATACAAAACATTATAAACAGACCACCGTTAATGCCATTTTCACTTGCTCATCTATACTTATATATTTACGTAAAAAAGAAGGGACCTATAGAAATGCTCACTTCGTTCTTTTTTTTCTTACCTATTCTAGTAACCTCGAGGGGTTATTCTAGATTCACTTAACTAGTAGGTGAGCTCACGGGGCTCAAACCGGGAGTGCTTAAAGCACCGGCCCTAGCAAGAGCAGTGCTTCGTAGCTACAATTGGATCGGAAACTCGACCCACTGAGAAGATCCGGTGAGAAACTCAGTGGGCTGTGTCTATGGGTTAATTTACTCATAGTGCCCTTCGTCGCAAGCGATGGGGTCGGTGAGGACGGTGACCGATGCTTGAGGTACCTAAAAGCACCGTTAATGGATCGGGAGGATGGCGAGTGGGTTCTTAAGCCAATCTGTATTAAAACGACTTCAAACTCCACTCACCCGAATAGAGATGTTTTTTAGAGAGTCAAGTAGAAACGTTTCAAATTTGGGAAAAACAATGACAGCAGTACCTATACTAGTTTTTTAAATCTGGACGGAAATAGGAAAAGAGGCATTGGTTATTAATGAACATAACATATTAATATTGCTGATCATCCGCATAATAACGCATAATATTATTAGCAAATTATCTGACAGTACCCTTAGGATATGTTAAAGTTAGAAATTGTTTTAAATTCTGTTTTTCCGCCCTATTTCAAAACACATTCAGTCAAAAAAGCATTGAGAATGTATGATTCGTTTATAGTTCCAAACTTAATTTTTTGTATTGCTGTTATACTCGTAGTAACAAAGAGTATTTGTTATCTATAATTGGCACAATTGTTTTCCATTTTGACACGCGGTTTGAGTTACATCGTTTATTATCTGTTAGGTATTTAGATTAATTACAGTCCTGTTTTTAGTTAAATATAATATTATGTTACTAGATGATGACCGAGCTTTGCTCGGTTTTTTTTTTGATAACGCCACCTTGTTGTGTCTTTAAAGCGGTTAGTTGCCATCAATTAAGAAAAATAGTATTATTATTCGCCAATAGATGTCGGGAAAAGTTGATTACTGAAAACACGAATAAAACAACATTTTCTGAAAATAAATCGTAGCTAGATCGATTTATCACCCCCGAAATCCCCTGTATACTAAATTTTATGAAAATCGTTGGAGCCGTTTCCGAGATTCAGATTATATAAGTATATATTAATATACGAGAATTGCTCGTTTAAAGGTATAAGAAGAGAAAGATTGCATCTCCAATGGGATTTTTGTTCATAGTCACTGAAAATCTTAAGGAAGACTTACGATAAATCGACTTTATAGCCGTCGAACTTTTTATATCTTGCGATATGTTACGGATTGACATCGGTACCATTTTAAACGATCACTTGAGTATGAAACTGATATTGCTGCTCGGCTAGTCCCAAGAGACCTGAATTTTCTCCAAAAACTCAATTGCACGAGAGTCCCTTAGGACCTGTGAGTCAACTCAAACCGAAAATTCGAGAAATGCATTGTTACTGGTGACGAGACGTAGGTTTACGAGTTTGACATGGAAACTAGTCAACAAGCTTCGGAGTGGCGCCTTAGAACTGAACCGAAACCGTAGATTCTGCGAAGCACTGCTCTTGCTAGGGCCCGTGTTAACAACACACCGGGTTTGAGCCCCGTGAGCTCACCTACACGTCAAGAAGAAGCTGATATAGCCTCTCAATGTTATCGGGATAGGTAGGAACAAAAAATACGGTATTCTATACAATACCTAGGAAATGTATAGAATACCTAAAACGTTACGGTAATGGATGAAATATTTTTCATTTTATATTTTGCCTAGGCATTGTGTACAATACCGAATGCGCTGCCGGCAATGTGTGTAAAAGTCGATAGCATGGAAGGGGGAGTGTGGGCTGGCAGGAAACGCGTCAGGGCTTTGACAAATGTACATGTAAAAAACTCTGTGATACCAAAAAGGGTTCATGTCTTAAAAGTAAGATTTTATGCACTTCAAAGTGTCACAATTCTTGTTCATGTAAAAATAAATAAAGATTTTTTTTGCTTACTGTATTCTGTGAAGCCAGTATAAGTAGATCTACTTCCTATTTTTAAAGAATTGTTTTGTTGCCTCAGCTTTTTAACTGATTACTTATGAGTAAACTAGATTAGGTTAGTTAACCCAGAAAAAATTTAAGTTCAATGTTATTTGATTGTGATTTTACTATAAATACCTACTTTTGAATAAATATTGTTTTTAATCAGAACTAACTACTTACTAATTGTCAATTTTAATAAAGTTGATTTTAAGCAAATATGATGTGTTATTTTTTTCTGTCATTTTATACCCTTCAACTTACTTACTTACATAGCTTTGATAAATACAGGCCCAAATGTAGTTATTTTACACACTAGCCCACACCAGCAGGTACTCTATACAATACCTAGGAATTGTATACATTACCTAGGTAAAGTATATTCACAATATTTCATATATTATTACCTTAACGTTTTAGGTATTCTATACATTACCTAGGTATTGTATAAAATACCTGAATTATACAGTATGCCTGTAACAGATATAAATAAAAGAAGCGGTTTCAAGATAAGATACAAGAACTTCTGTTTTATGCTATCAACTCTAGACATGTTGTCAGTAATGCCGATATAAATTTGTTGAGTCATGCGTCTGTTTCATCTATATATTAATACGTGAAGTAAAAACTTTGTATCCCTTTTTACGAAAATTGCGCGGACGGAGGGGTATGAAATTTTCCACACTTATAGAGAATATAGAGAAGAAGTGCACAATGCTAATATTTTTTTTAAATAATGCTTAAATCAATACATCATCTACATTAAATCAATAAGGAAAAATTACACACACTACCATGTATTTGACGCACACACGCACGCATACTATTTATTTATTGTCAAACTTTTCTTCTTGACGTCGGGGGTCAAATTGAGAATAGATTAAATATTGTTTGTCTTTATTAATATTTTTTTACAGTGTAGTCTTGGCGAAATTTGTGATTTATGAAATAGTCTTTGAAAATAGAATCATAATAGTGTACAAGCTTACAATTTCAATTAAATATAGTCGAATTTCGACTACTGCAGGACCACTATTAGTAGCAATTTAAAAATCGAAACCCAATTCTCGTTCTTATTAAGTGTAGATTGGTTTTTCTCTTTAATTTTTACCCTAGTTTCTTTTTAAGTTCTTCTTCTTCTGTTTGATTTTGGCTCGCGCGGCTTGCGCATTTGCCACAAAGCAAAATAAAAGCTTGGGAACTACGTAATAAAAATAATAAAAAAAATTTTTTTTTTTTTTGAACGGATTCGCAAGGGAGAGATTAGGAAAGTTAGAGAATATATGAAGATACATATATAAATAAGATTAAATTAAATATGTACATAATTAGATAATATAAATAAAGACAATAAACTGTATACATTACGAGAATTTATAGATAAAAGACACATAATGGAAGTAGGAAATGGAATACGTAATGCAATCAAATTTAAATAGAAAGAAGAGCAATCATTTAGAGAGCAAGAAAACTAGCTGATATCACGTCGCATTACACAATACGAACGAATTTATAACTTACCGTTGGAATATGAAGCCTTTCTTTAGTTGGTCCAAGCATGAAGATTCTAAGTACTTATCAAAAGTGCCTAGTTTCTCGTCGGTCAACAACGCGGTGTCTGTTGCACCAAAGCACACTGTCAGTACCCGGACCCCGGTTTTCGAAAAGTGTTCCGGTCTCTGTATAATAAATATCATTGAATAAGTAGGGTTATTCAGTAAAATGTATATTTTCATATTAATGCATGTGACTTTTAGACTGTTTAGACGGTGAAGTTTTTCATTCGGAGGGTAATTTCATTCCTTTTTTTTCTTTTCTTTTTTTTATGATGACTGGTGATTATGATTATGATTATTGGTGGCCCGGAGGCCTTTCCAGTTTCACAAGGACAGGCGGGCAAGCAAGGGCTCAGCCAGAAGAGGCGGGATTTGCTAAGAGCTACCCGAGCGCCCGAAGGGAGACCTAACAACTCAAGAGTATGCTTCGCGAATGAATCTACTACCGGATCGGAATCGCGACCCGCTAAGAAGATCCGGCGAGAAACTCAACGGGTTAGGTTGCACGTCGAACTCTTTGCTGAGTTCGACGAGTACGGTTACCGGAGTCTCTACTCCTAGTGCTAATTTCATTACTACCTAACGTTCGGATGTAGGTTTATTTTTTGACTCAATCATCATTTGTGAAATAACAAGCTCTATAAATCAGCGAGTAAAGTCAGATTTTGTAAACTTTTTTAATGAATTTACGTTTAAATACATGATTGTGATCTTAAAACTTAAGATTGCAAGTTTCATGGGTTTTTTTTTTATTGCTTAGATGGGTGGACGAGCTCACAGCCCACCTGGTGTTAAGTGGTTACTGGAGCCCATAGACATCCACAACGTAAATGCGCCACCCACCTTGAGATATAAGTTCTAAGGTCTCACGTATAGTTACAACGGCTGCCCCACCCTTCAAACCGAAACGCATTGCTGCTTCACGGCAGAAATAGGCAGACAGATTTTAGACCTACCTACAAATTTTGATAAGTGGATCTTGGTTATTGAGTTCAAAATCCACTATAATTCTTACGAGTATGTTGAAGAACAAGTAAACTTACACCGATGCAATTACTGAACTGCAGCACAGCGCTTTTAGTGGCGAAGTATATCGGCATAACGTGAGATTGCGTCAAAGCGGCAACAGAAGATACGTTGATAACTGTGCCTCCTTTACCACCGCTGTGCTTCCCCATTATCTCAATGGCTTTTAATGTACTCGTTATTAAGGCGGTCTGGAATCGAAATTGGTATTAATGAAATTGCTGAATTTGGTCCTATAATAATTGGCCTCTTTTATCACTGGTCGAACGGCTGTGACCGTAAAGTCAACTAAACAGTGTATAAGGTGGTAAGATGAGTTTTAAAAAATGCCGCTTCATCTTTGTTGGATAAGTGTGGCCTGATAATGATGAATGACGTTTATACTGCAAACAAGCGGCCCGTTCCGGCTCCTCTCGGGTCTTTAACAAAAATTTCAACGAGATTTGACATTGTTTTATTTTTTTAAATAAAAGAACACTTATTGCGGTATAACTATAATAGTTAGACATATGTTGTCGCGACACTTTTTGTAAAGAATAATGTGTCCTACAAAGTCGTAGTACATTATTTTATTCTATCGTCAATAGTTTTCGCAGGGCACGCGATGTAAAGAATATTTTAGGTAATTTTTTTACACCTTGGGTTACATTATTGAAGTTTTAGTAAGGATCCCTAATTTTTTTCAAAAAAGACTATAGCCTATGTCGCTTGGGAATAGTGTAGCTTCCAAACAGTGAAAGAATTTTTCAAATCGGTTTAGTAGTTTCGGAGCCTATTCAATACAAACAAACAAACAAATATTTCCTCTTTATAATATTAGTATAGATTAAACTATCCTAATTAGTTTATGTTGTCTCAAGATGATTGCTTTAAGTTATTATCGAAACAAAAGGAATTTTAATTTGTCATTTAATCGGCTGTGACCTTACCACGTTGACCTCTATGGCTTTTTTGTAAATGCCAATACTGTCGTTCATGAGGGCGGCATTATTAATCACTACATCAATGCCGCCTTGCTCCTGAACTACAGCGTTAAGGATTCCCAGGAAGTGCTCTTCATTAGTGACGTCAGATCTGTAGAACTTCGTTTTGTTGCCATATTTCGAATTCAGTTCAACTTGTAACGATTTTCCGGCTTCTTCCGCGATGTCCAAAATCGCTATATGCTGGAAATGAAAAGTAATGTTTTAAGGATCACTCTAGACTTTATGAATATTGGATTCCGGTTTTTAGGAATTGTTAAGTACTACTTTACAAAGATGATCCCAAGATCCAAGACGACCCAAGATCGTGATGTTTGGGCGACACTAACCTCTTCTCATCAGGCTCAAGAGAACGCGAACTTTGGTTTAGACATTAGTATATGCCGACAGTGTCGGAACTGTCCTCAAAGACGAAGCCAGCAGTAGATGTGTTACACGATAACACACCATGAAAATACTGACGTTTTCGATCCATTGACACGTAACTATGATCTACACCCCTGAACGTCGCCTAGAAGACCATCGAATTAGCTTACTAAAATAATAATAATTTCGTGAGCTCCATACAGCCACGAACAGACATTTGGCCAAGGCTCGATAGTTTCTTGTAGTTCAAGACATCCTTATTATAAATGTTTATATTTTTATCTTTTATATCATAACTTAATAAATAATATTTGCTTATCTTCCGGGGACACGCATATATTTGAATGACAAACGGACTTAAAGAAAGACATACATCAATTAAACTTAACAATGATTTGAAGTCTGTCAAAAAGAGAAAAAAGGAAGGATCTTTTTTAGATTTTACTCTCGAATGAAACTACTCTTAATATAAGTGGTAAAGCGATAACAATTTAATAGTATATGTGAAGGTCTTATTGTATCCAACATTTAGATTTAAATTTTATTAATTTAACTAGCTGACCCGGCAGACTTCGTAGTGCCTCAATCGATAAATAAAAGACCTAGGTTTTTGTATAAAATAAACTTAAAACAAACAAAAGGAATCCGTCCGACGGGGGACACATCAAAGGAGAAACAAAATTGTTATTTTTATTTAATTCCGAGCATTTTCATATTTATATACTATTACTTTTTAAACCTTCACTGGACTTGCACAAATAATTCGACCTTTGAACCATTTGAAAAAAGTTTCACTCAAAAATCTGACACCATGAAGGTTCTATGTCAATTCGAAGTACCTATTACAATAAAAAGGCAATTTCATACTTGAACACCTATTAGGTACTAACTTATTTCTGCGGTGAAACTAACAAATTAATTAATACTAGATGTGTCGCGTCAATGTGGAGCAATAAAAATATAAACATTTTAGGAAGCAAATTAACGGGTAAGTTTGTGGATCACCGCTATAAAAGTTATATTTTACTCACCTTAACTCCTTCGTCTAATAATATCCTGACCACAGATTCACCGATGCCCGTTGCAGCACCGGTTATAAAAACTACTTTATCTTTCCATTCGTGCGACATCTTCAACGTTCCGTAAATAAGTAACAGAAATGAGATAAATGCTTCATTGCTTCAAAAGATACTGTAATCACTAAGGATTTGGTGTTTGATAAAATAAAAATGACTTTGAATAAAAATGTTTGAATGATTTTTGAAATTGAACCTAAACTCCTTAGAAATAAGACTTATTTTTGCTTAGGATTGTGAAAAATATTTTTTTTATTGCCTTGAAATTTGAATGAGTAAACAGGTTTCATGTTCAAGTTAACATGACACGGTAAAAATGAATTACAATGACATAACAGTATTAATAAGCATATATTGTTTTAAAATTACCTACACTATCGTATAGGTACCTAGAGTGAATATAATCTTGATAGTGTTTATTATGAACTAACTGTTTCTGTTCACGCAAGTAATACCCGTGTACCTACATTAAATTAATCTAACAAATAATAATCTTGAATAAAAATTACATTTTTTTTTTTTTGTACTAAGTGTTAGTTTTGCGTTGCGTCTTTTAAGCGCCCATAGGTAGGTGCCTATTTCTGTCCATTTCTACCAAAAATGAGTGGTGGCATTAACGTTGCGGTTCCTGCGGGCACCGGTAACCACTTAACTTAAGATGGGCCGTGAACAAATTCACCGATTTAGGCAATAACCTTTCTCTTAAAGATAAGCAGACGTAATCCTGGTTCAGATTCCAAAATGAATTCGAAAGCTGAAAAACGTGAAGAAAAGGTATACTACATTACATTACACTACGGATTACGTATATATTAATACGTGAAGCAAAAGCTTTGTACCGCTTTTTACGAAAATTACGCAAACTGAGGAGTATGAAATTTCCCACACTTAAAGAGAATATGTATTGAGAAGGAGTGCAGATTGCAATATTTTTTTAAACTAGCTGACCTGGCAGACTTCATAGTGACTCAATGGATAAATAAAAGACCTAAACTTTTGTATAAAATAAACTTAAAACAAACAAAAGTAATCCGTCCGACGGGGGACACATCAAAGGAAAAACAAAATTGTTATTTTGATTTAATTCTGAGTATTTTCATATTTATCTACCTTTTACACCCTCTCTGGACTTCCACAAGTAATTCAAGACCAAAATTAGCCAAATCGGTCCAGCCGTTCTCAAGTTTCAGCGAAACTAACGAACAGCAATTCTTTTTTATATATACTTAGTCTGGCCATAAATACTGTTACAAAGGAAAACCAAAAAAAATTATATGGCAAATAACATTTATTACTTTTACAGTGTGTTCGTTTAATACATAAATATAAAACAATTTAAAGTATAAAAAGCTTATTCGAAGTGGTCTCTATTGGCTGCAATACAACCCTTTAAACGTTGAGGCCAGTTATCAATAGAAGCACGCACTCTTTCCATGGGAAAAATTTTCACTGCCAATCGTACGGATTGTTTTAGGGACTCTAAATTATCATGGCGTTTAGAGCAAGCCGTACTCTCTAAAACTGACCATAAATCATAATCCAGCGGATTAAGATCGGGACTAGACGACGGCCAGTCTTCAGCTCTGATGAAGTCCGAAACGTTCGTTTCCAACCAAGACTGCATAGACCGAGCTTTATGACCTGGCGCCGAGTCTTGCTGGAACCATTCTTGATTATTGAACATGGTGTTGTTAAGGGGCTTCACTACCTGCTCAAGAATGGTATCTTGATACACTTGTGCCGATGTTTTGATACCTTTTTCACAAAAGTATAGCCCAGTCACTCCTTCGTAGCTAATACCCCACCAAACCATCACTGAAGTCGGATAGTGCCCACGTTGCACTCTGTCGACTAATTGGGAAGCTTCCTTAGAGCTTTGAGCATAAATACGGTCATTTTGTTTGTTAAAATGTTGGTCAATTGTAAAAAAATTCTCACCCGTAAACAAAAAATTTCTACGACCTCCCTTTGCGTACCGCTTCAGTAGTTGTTTCGATTTTACCACCCTATTCTCTTTTAAATTATCAGTTAAGAAATGACCAGTACGTCTTTTATAGGCTGCAAGTCCTAAGTGCTATCTTCATTTCCCGAGATAAAATCTTTTGCTTTCGGACAGGATTTCTTCGAATTCTTTCCCTTACTGCTTTGACCACCTTTTTCGTACGAACACTACGTGGACGGCCAGATCTTTTTCTGTCAACAGAGGAGGTCTCATTGCACCTATTAATAGCCCGCTACACAAACATTTTACGAATATCAAGCGTATGGAGAGTTTTAAAAATTGCATCTGGCTCCATACCTACTTTGTGTAATGCAATCACAGCGATTCGGTTCTCTTTATCACCCCACTCCATTTTAATATCGCAAAATATTGTACAATGTATTGGCGCCAAAATGAGAAAACTCAATGAGCAATCATATAAAACTGACAGATTCCAAATTCAAATGTAATATTTTGTTTATTTTTAATTGTAACAGTATTTATGGCCAGACTAAGTATAGATTATGCATTAATAGCACATTAAATCAATAAAAAAAACCTTACACATACTACCATATATTTAACACAAATACATTTAAATAGATACCTATATTGGTTATTGTCAAACTTTTGTTGTTGCTAAGTTTGTGGTCAAATTGAGAATAGGTTAATTAATATTGTTTATCTTTAGTATTATTTATCTATAGTGTAGTCTTGGCGAAATCTGATTATGATTATAGAAATATGACAATCGAATAGAATGGTCTTTGACAATAGAACCTTAATAAAGTTCAAACTTATAATTTCAATTAATTAAAGTCGATTTTCGACTACTGCGGTACCACTAGTTTAAATAAATATTTATCTTATTGATTGGGAGCACAAACCGAACGAGACTTGAAAAGTGAATTTTTTTTTTTTTTTTTTTTTTTTTTTCCTACCTAAGCTGATAGCCTTGAGAGGCTATATCAGCGTAACCCTAACTTTAGTAGGTGAGCTCACGGGGCTCAAACCTGGTGACGTTGCTAACACGAACGCGACCCACTGAGAAGATCCGGCGAGAAACTCAGTGGGCTGTGTCTGAGAGTTAATTTACTCGTCGAGCCCTTCGTCGCAAGCGACGGGTTCGACGAGAACGGTGACCGGTGCTTGAAGTACCTAAAAGCACCGTTAGTGGATCGGGAGGAATCGTTTTTACTAATGCAGACCCGTGTATGTAATATACGAGTAGGTATATATTATACATCCCGAAATCAACGTTCAACGTGTTCTATGCTTTAACTTTGTTTTACTCATGACGTGTACAAACAGGGCGTCTTGTGAGCCCTAATCTATAAAAAAAAACTGGTGCAATAGCAACTTGGTGCATGTAAAAGAAGTGAAACTTCAACGTAGGTACCTCAAGATATAGCATTAGCTTAGAAATAAGTTGTTGCTGGTATTCGATGATTACAGAACGAGTCCTTAGGTTTTACTTTTAATATTTTTAATGATAATTTAAAACTTTACTTTTATTTAAAAGACAGTAAATATTTTAGAAACTAAACTGTTCCTACCGTTGGCCTTGCAGTGTAGTAGTTTATATAAAACCCAATAGATGTCGCTAAACTAAATAACGACCTAACTCGCTTTGTTCTTTCAACGGTCGAGTGGTTCGCAAAACGCTGTCTATTTTCTCACTCTTGCTCTTCCTAAGTTCTATCTTTTCTTTCCAGCCGTAACGAATCTGTCGCGAGTTAAATTGTACTATCAACGCCCCTAAAGAAGATACACTTTAAATAAAGCTAATTATTTCGTTAAAACTAGATAAAATATCATAAACGATACCTAGTTGGATGCAATTTACGAGTTTACTAATTTTAAAATATATATAGTTTGATTAAACTTAATTAAGCTTAGACTTAGGTATGAAAATCAGAGATGTATATAATACCTTAAAATATAAAGTATCTGGAATACAAAATCCAAAATACTTTTGAATTAAGTATTTCAGATACCAGATCCAAATAGCTTTCTGGAATGATATCTGAAATACTAGATATAATACTTTATAAAGATAAAATATTTTTGTAAAAAAACATTTTTTTAAATGAAAGTTTATTTTTTTGCCCGTAAATCGCATTGATCGCACAAACGTGACACAAAATAATATTTAGGCTCCTCAAGCACCGGTCACCGTCACGTGTGTCACGATTCCGATCCAGTGGTAGATTCTTGCTAGGGCTAGTGTTAGTAAATTCTCTCAGGTTGAGCCCGTGAGCTCACCTACCCGTCCGGGCGTAGCCGGAATAGCCTCTTAGGCTACCAACGAATAGATAGGGTCTTTTAGGGGTAACACAGACCACTATACGGACTAATTAAAAATGACACGAGTCAAGAGGCATAGCCAACATTTTGTAGAAAGAAAGAATTTCCATGCATTGAAGAAGGTAGGACGTCTTGTGAGTCCGCACGGGTAGGTGCCAGTAGGTAACTACCCTGCCCATTCACGTCCTTACGGATCCATCAGATCCTTTGCATTAGACGTCTTCAGCTCTAACACTAAGAGCAGGCTTAGAGAACCCGGTAATCGTACTCGTAGAACTCGACAAAGAGTTCGACGTGCAACCTAACCCATGCGTCAGCCCGCTGAGTTTTTCGCCGGATCTTCTCAGCGGGTCGCGATTCCGATCCAGTAGTAGATTCATTCGCGAAGCAGCTGCTCTTGAGCTGTTAGGTCTCATTCGGAGGCGCTCGGGCAGCTGTTAGCAAATCCCACCCCTCTTGGCTGAGCCTTTGCTCGCCCACCTGTCTTAGTGAAACGGGAAAGACCTCTGGGTCGCCAGTAATCCTTAGATCATAAAAAACCTTGCTTAATTCTGCCGTAAAGCAGTAATGCGTTTCGGTGTGAAGGGTGGGGCCACCGTTGTATTATAAAGACGTAGACCTTAGAACCCATATCTCAAGGTGGGTGGCGGCATTTACGCTGTAGTTGTCTATAGGCTCCAGTGACCACTTAACATCAGGTAGGCCGTGATCTCACCCACAAACCTAAGCTATAATAATAAAAAACCTAAGAGTCGCCATAAAATCAGTTATCTATTACCTACTAAAAGTGTTTTACCAATCATAGTATCTACAAAATACTAAAATATCAAACAAAGGGTATTTAAATAGGTACAAGATTCAAAATAAATTAGTTTTAAACCTACTTGTATCTTGGTTAAGCTATATCACATCGCGTTTAAGTATTTTACTCGGTATCGTTTTGAGAGTATCGATGCTCATATAATATCGATACTTTTACTAAAGCCCTAGTTTTAAATGACTTGAAAATTTCGTTTAGAACATCATAAAAAAATTATAATTAAAAAAAACAAAAAATCGGGGCCGGGAAAACTCTGTAGGTACTTATTTAACTCTGTATTAATAAACAGGAATTTGTTGCAAATTGTCAGCGTATAGTTTTCTGTGATTAATCTACAGCAAAGACTAACTCCGATAAACTAGTATTTATTGGATAGTATTATCTGTATTATGTATTATTATTGGACTCATTCTCATAGTAACTCACATAGATTATACACTTAATTTATTTGAGAGTAACTCACTTTCAAAGTAGCCACAAATTAATAATTGTGCAACATTTTAATTAGTTGTTTTATTTCAAAGGACATCGGCGAAGGCAAAATCATGTTTCCTAATCAACAAGTAAGTACAAAAACTGAAGCTTAACCCCTAAACCTTAATTTAAAACAATGATATTAGTCACCAGGGCATATCCTAGTTTATTTTTTGTTGTAAATAGCGAATTTAAAAATATTTTAAATACATTAAGCACTTATTTATTTTATTAACTACATTTTATCAATGCAAGGTAGACCAACACTCACCAAATTACACTCAAGTCCACTTATTATAATAAATTTTATTAAGTTTGCATGATATTAAAAATTGCTATCGGTTCAAAATGTTGATTTGTCAAGGTACATTATGATAAACCGCATGAAGCTCATGAGAAAAAAGTAGTGAATCACAATAATCAAATTACATTTAATATCTTTATTTCAAAGTAATACTATAAAGACAAAAAAATCTATCACTCAGATAGATTCCAAAGTGAGACGAAATAACAATAAGTGAAATTATCTAATTAACTAAAACTGTATGAATAGCTGCATATAGCTGCTTAAAATAAATGAAACAAGAAAAATCAGGTTTATGAGGAAGTAATCATGCAAGAGTTCTGCTTGCAACACTTGTGATCAGTTCTCAGTTTCATGGTACCATATTCTATGCTCATCAAAAATATACAATCATTTTAGTTAAAATTATTAATTCCACTGCATTATTCCACCGTACCTTTCAAGAGATCTTTTCTCACATGTACCATTCGATCTTAGAATGAGCTCTGCTCTATGGTGCTTCCTGAGTGCTATGATATGACCTTTTAAACAAAGTTGGCAGAGAGTACTTAGCAGTAGCAGTAGCGGCAGTTTGACTCTGCCTTTGGCATTGCTGAGATCGATGAGCTCCGGTAACTACTCTGTCAGGTGAACCATATGCTCGTTACATACATAGGTCAATAAAAAAGAACAAAAATATTTAAATGACCTCAATGAACTTTTAGGTGTGTTTACTAGACACTTCAAAATGTATGATAAAAATTTAACATTCTGTATGTCTCTTAGTTCATGGCATGATGCAAAAATTAAAATATTGAATTATTAAATAAAATAAAAGCCAAGATAATAATCAATCAATCAAATCTTAAATTAACTTATTCAAATTCAACTAAATATTTCACAATAACATATTATTTAAAAACAAACAAAAGTGATTTTGACATAAATTCCAGTATACAATTAATAGTAAAATAAAATCCCTCAGAGGAATATTGAGGTTCACAACTTAATAACAAATTACTTCATACTAAAAATATAAATCCCACAAAAGTTAATTATGTTTTGATTATCAGATAATTTAACAATTACAAGTTGATGAATTACACTGTAAATAAATATACAAAATTGTAGATCAACTTGAATTGAAGATATTATATTTAATTATATTTTAATTTAAAAACTGTAAAATTTAACAGATTGTGATGGTTCAACAAAAATGATGATCGAAACGGAATGAGTTCAATATTAATGTAAAATAATATTTGTGTATATATGTATGTAATAATATAATAAAATAAATAGAGAGTCAAGTAAACATTACACAAGGCGGAAAAAAAATGAGAAATTCAGTATCGGCTAATGTAAAACTAAAGTAATTTTTAAAAGATCAGCACCTGCTTTATATTTTTTAATTTTAAAACTATAATTTTATGATCTAGGGTTAATGGCATGATGGTTTTAACAACTCATCACTCATCTTACTACTTATAATGATGGATACTTAAGCACTTGTACATCTTTTATTAATGCGAAACTACATAAAAAGCCTATTTATTAATAGCGGTTAATATCAATTGGGTGCTTATGGATAACTTTTCGATTGATAAATAAATTTAAAAAAGATATCACAGCCAATGGGATAGTAGACCCAATGTTGGAGTGGGCTATGAATGAACGTATCCTTTCACTGTGCCCTATTAATGGTGCATCAGTAGCTGCATTTGCGGGAGGGGGACTATTCTTATTACTATTGTCTCACAACCCCAGACATTACTCTGAGCAGATTGAAAAGAGAGTGACAACGACCCTTTGCCCTTAAAGACATCGTTAGTTGTCTAACCCCGCAAGCTACATTCCGACTATTTGTAGTACCTTAACTTGTAGAAGAGCACAACAGTCGACTTTCACTTCAATGTAAGTTGTAAGTGAATTCTCAAATCTAATACAATCAAGTTACAAATAGAAAAACGAGTATCCCATTTGTCAAAGCTCTTTCTCAATAGTTCTGTAGTAAATGCGGAGATGTGACTCCGAGATAACACAGGCCGTACACTGCATTTTGCGTTGTATTATTTGGCGCAAATCAGTGCTTTCCGCTCCCCATTCCTTACCGAGTTTTTCGCCTAAGGATCGGTCGTACCAAGAGATTTTTATTAGACATTATGGTCTGTTTACTACTTCAATAAAGAGGAAAGCTGCACGTGCTTAAACGGCGTGAAGTCTTTTTCACGCATGCCCACGAATTATTTTTTCATTAAAAGTATTACATCGTGTTCCTCCTTCTCCTCAAGATCTTTGCATACCTAGGTGGAAATGTTTGGGTTTTTTTAGGCTTACGCTGGGCTGAATAAATCCAGTTTAATTTTCCAGTCAGTTCATCACACACACCTAGCATGCTATCACTAGGGACGTGTGTAAGGACTCATATAGGCACCTTGTGCATTACTACTTATATCGGTACTATTACTTGTGGTTCACGACATGAAAACAAAAATTTTTAAATACATTTATATATTTATTAGGCACACACACATTACAAGCTAAAAAGATAGGACACAATAAATAACAACAAGTAAAAAATTTGGCTTGTAACATAAGCCATGCGCGCACAACTAATCAGGACAATGTTCTTTACAACTATAGGACAAGACAGCACTAACGAAAACCAACCCAACTTTTAATGTAAGGAAGTAACAATAAATCACAATCACAAAGGAAATCACATTAAACAATTAAACTACCTAATCTACTATTAAATATAAAATACTATTAATGTCACAATTTTTGCGAAAGTACTCTGCGACAGACCAGGCCCTGGCACTGCTGACATCCATAAGCGATGTTACCCACTTACCACCCGGTGGGCCGTATACTGGTCTGCGTACAAGATCAATCTTTGTTAATTACTATTACCTATATTTTGATTAAATAAAACCAACAGTAACATATAAATACCACAAGGATATAATATGTGACATAATGTATCGAGAAGTGTAACGCTATCTGGTTTAAGGGATATATTTGTCACTTCAGAGGAGAGCCATGTAAAGTTTAAAATTTGGAAACATTATCCTAAAAAAACTTTTTCTATTTGAATGTAAACTTAATTGAAATTAATTTAAAAAAATCGAATTGTTGATACTACTCGTAATATCAAATAGAACGGTCCTTTAATTACAAAGATAAATGTGGCTTAAACCAAATAGTCCTTCACCCCTTGATATGTACATATAAAATGTGCACTTCCTTACACCACTTTTTCGTCAATGCACAATATCTAATTAAGCTTACGATTTGTAGAGATATGCTTTTTAAGTTGCATGCGGGTGAGTGTGTGAAAAATTAACTGAATGGTTTGAAAACGTGTTTATCAAATCTGTTAGTAAACAATCATATCAATTGTCAAAAGTCATTTTGAACTAATCAAGCTAATGTTTTTCAATACTGAAATAATGTTTCAATTTCAGTTTCCACCAAACGTTGGATTTAACAACCTAACTCCTCAATCATTCAGCAATACAATGAACATGCAAGGCTCTCCAGCTATGAGAAACCCTCAAGTACCCGGACAGGGCTATCCACTACCTGCTCAATCTGCCTATCCTCAGCCCGGTTATCCTATTCAGCAGAATCAAGGCTATCCACAAAGTACTGCTCAATACCCGACACAGGGTGTTCCATACCCTACTCACCAGAATCAAGGCTATCCACAAAGTACTGCTCAATACCCGACACAGGGTGTTCCATACCCTAATCACCAGAGTCAAGGTTATCCACAAAGTACTGCTCAATATCCGACACAGGGTTTTCCACAACATGCTCAATCTGCGTATCCTCAATCATCTCAGCCTCAAACTGATCATGGATTTAGATCACAGCCGGGTTCGATTTATGGGAATCAGAGTCACCCACCTAATCAGTTCGGAATTAACCAATCCAGACCAGTGCCTGTTGTGCCGAAGGTACGTCCGCACGACAAAACTGCGCCTATATTTTTATTTATCTTTGTTATTAATCCTCATAATGAAAGAAACAGCGATTGTAGGATCTCTATAGGATATATCTCTCTCGATAGGATATATGAAATAAATTCCTTTCCTCATCTCTGACGCTTTCGTTATGGAATCACTATTTTGATCGTGAATTTATTTCAAAGATACTGCACAGATAACTGTATAGTGTAATTCGTAACAATGTGCTAATGATATCCATTTAAGAAAGCTTGAGTTTCTCACTATTAAACAATTAAAGATTACGATCGATTATCGAATGCATGTTTTGTATTATATATGATATTTTGCTTATGCATGTTGGCTATTTGTTACTAATTGGTTACTAATTACTATTTTTAGATCATAATAATAATATGGAATTAGGGCGTAATGTGAGCCCGCTATTTCTACTATTTCTACGCTACTGCTTCTGCCGCATAGCAAAGGGTTGGGTACCCATTATACTAAAATCGAATAAATCTCTTGTTTTAAGGTGGAGCTGTGATAGTAGTAGTGATATTTTTGGGCTTCACAGACCACTTATTAAAAGGATCGTCATCTCATCGTCTACCCTTAAAGATGATCTTAAATCGAATTCGAATAGAAAATTTCTTTATTTGGCATATAAGAGGCAAACGACTACGGACCCACTACAATGTGATCGCGATTATTTTATTAAGACATGAAATTAAAATCATTTATTCATTGCTTTTACGCGGAAGAAATAGGAAGGATGATATAGGGGTACACGTATGGTAGACACGTGGTGCAGACTTGGCACAATGGCCTGCCTCCATTGCCATAGATAGAAACTTTTTTTTAAACTAAGGGAGTATAGAAAACGGCTACTTTGAATATTCAGCATTCCAAATCCCTTTTTCGAAACTTTGATTCTAATTTCTTTTTTTTTATTGCCTTGATGGGTGGACGTGTTCACAGCCCACCTGGTGTTAAGTGGTTACTGGAGCCCATAGACACCTACAACGTAAATGCGCCACCCACCTTGAGATATAAGGTCTAACGTCTCAGTATAGTTATAACGGTTGCCCCACCCTTCAAACCGAAACGCATTACTGCTTCACGGCAGAAATAGGCAGGGTGGTGGTACCTACCCGTGCGGACTCACAAGAGGTCCTACCACCAGTGATTATGCAAATTATAATTTTGCGGGTTTAATTTTTATTATTACACGATGGTATTCCTTCACCGTGGAAGTCAATCGTAAACATTTGTTGAGTACGTATTTCATTAGAATAATTGGTACCCGCCTGAGATTTGAACACCGGTGCATTGCTCAACACGAATGCACCGGACGTCTTAACCTTTAGACCACGACGACTTCAAATATATTGTTAATTGTAAATTAAAATAATATTTGTTAACGTAATTCAAGTTACGGGTGCTTGGTATTGGAATAAGAGGGTAGACGATAAAAATAACTGTAAATAAAAAAAACAATTATCATTAAAATCTGTTGACCTAATTTAGGCGATTCAAATGTTGACTAGCCCCTAGTAGTATAACCTAGTAATGTGTTCTCAACGAACTACGATTAGTTAGATTAAAAAAAAAAAAAACCTCGAAACATTTACCAACGGATATAACGCTATTACTTTATTACGTACGTTCAGTGGCTCTATTCAAGGAACAATTTGTTGCAATTACGTTATTACGTTCTCTCACTCGTCGCCGTCTTCAACCGAAGGATCAGTCTCTGCATTGGACTCCACCACAATGGATGCAAATTGTTCGAAATACGACACGTTCGGAGCAGTGTTGTGACTTTGTTACTTAAAAAAAATATTGTGCTGTCTCCAAAATTAACACTAGTGATGAAAATGTCCTCTATTAAATCGAATTTAAGTATGCGAATTGCGAATAGAACTTCAATTGTCTTACAGCGGGGATCTAAATCGTATCGTTTCGTGGTATTTATCTTATGTAAACTAACGCTTATTCGAATATGCTTTCTTTGTGTTTCTAACTTGCTTATTATTGGTAATAAGATTCTAATTAAACTACCGTGCCAACGCATTAGAGAAACGTGCCGAATTCATTCAGTTATGTTCGCTTAAAATTTTTGGTAGTTAGTTTTTTTTTGTGGCTTATCAAGAGCTGTAGACATGATTAATACAATAATATTATTTCCGATATGAAATGTTAACAAAATGGCATATTTATTTAAATACTTTGTAACACGGACTTCATACATAGTCTTGTGTTTTGGTCAGTACGTCTCTTTTTTTTGTTTTAGTCGAGACCGACTGTCTTCCCTGTAAACCCGTTCAATCCTCGCGAGGATGCTGGAGTCCTTCGCAAGGCCATGAAAGGTTTTGGAACCGATGAGAAGTCTATTATCCAAGTACTGACGAAGCGTTCGAATGAGCAGCGTCTACGCATCGCTTTAGAGTTCAAGACGTTGTATGGAAAGGTAAGTTTGACAGGATAACTCTGTGATACATTCGTGCATTCAAAATGAATCTTTTAGACTTATTCGAACGTGTATAGCATTTAAAGATACTACAGGGAAAAACCCTACCTATGCTGATTGCCTTGAGAGGCTAATTCAGCTTCGCCTTGACGTATAGGTGAGCTCACGGTGCCCAAACCGGAAGCGTTGCTAACACTGGCCCTAGCAAGAGCAGTGTTTCGCAGAGTTTGTTGTCGGATCGGAAACGCGACCCACTGAGAATATCCGACGGGTTCGGCGAGGACGATGACCGGTGCTTGTGGAACCTAAAAGCACCGTTAATGGATCGGGAGGATCCGTAATGACCTGTTTAGGGCGACGTCGACTGTTTACCATTCGGTCCACAGGATCTAGTATGATGCTACAGTAGACACGATACACGTACTTATATATTTCTTCTTTTTTCATTTAGAAATTGTTTTAACAAGATTATTGTGGGAACACTATTAGTAATAATAGTCACAAACAACATTAAATTCTGTTTAATAATAGTTTCAACTAAAAATAAAATTGAGTGATTAAATTAAAATGTTGTTCCCTAATTAGTTGTTCTAAAAATGTTTTCCCTATTCGTCAATCTATTAGCAAATGTATTTGTTGCATACGAATAATAAAATGAAATAAAAAATATATGTAAATAGAGGCAAAAAGTAGGTAAATACGATGAGGTAAAGACTGATAAAGGGGAACTATGCGTAATTATGGGCACGGCTCTTAGTAAATTGCCTTAATAAAAACGAAACACACTATAATATATGGTGTAACTTTGAAAGAGTGCAGACATTTTATAATGGAAAACAAATTTTCTTCACGTTTTTAGTGGAACATTTTTCAATTTAATAGACTGCAATCCACTCTATAACACGATGAATTGGTTTCGCATTGTTGCATTATATTCTTATAACGCGTCCGCGTAACCCCATATAACGCGTTATGTACAAATAATTCACGTTTAAAGTTAAAAAGAAAAAAAATGTTTTAAACGAAATACTAATGTGCATTTTATTAAAATTGAACAGAACATTTTTAATTAAAAATAAATATGCAGGAAATCCCCGCTTTATATGGGGAATCCCGTTATAGAGGGTATCGGAGAGTAGAGGCGGTACTTCTTTTGACGTTCAACAAGTATGTACTTTCATTTATGATGAATATTATTATTTTTATTTCATTTCGCATTATAGGTTGGTGGGTTTACCATAGATAATACACATAAGGTTTACTAGCTTGAATAGTATGCACGCTTAGGATCACGGTCTTCGTTTCTCTGTATATATAGGTAATATCCTATATTGGAACTGCCTTTAAAATGAAATTTCCCATACTCGGCTTAACAGATTATTGTAAAGTTTTTTAAACAACGGTGAGATGGCAGGGCCACTTCCAAATCGTGTCGTTTTTGGGTCTATAAGTCTTAGTAATAAAAATTCAAGTCTGTGTGCGTATTTCGACAATAGTTAAATAAGCTTGGGCTGCTTACTCAAATATTGATACCGTTATTTGATTAATAGAAGAGTGCATGGAGAAATGATACGTGACGAATTCAATATTCTCCAATATCTAATAGTTGTTATGCATTATAATAAGTCGACACATTTATTGTTTCTTCTAGCCCACTGAGTTTCTCGCCGGATCTTCTCAGTGGGTCGCGTTTCCGATTCGGTGGTAGATTCTGCGAAGCACTGCTCTTTCTAGGGCCAGTGTTAGCAACACACCCGGTTTGAGCCCCGTGAGTTCACCTACACGTCAAGGAGAAGCTGAAATAGCCTCTCAAGGCTATCAGCATAGGTAGGGAAAACAAAAAATTTTTTCTTGTATGCACCAGTGAACAAAGACCTAAACAATCGTACATTTATTGCAATGATTTTTTTTTTTACTAGGATTTGATATCGGATATTAAGAGCGAAACGAGTGGAAAATTTGAAGACCTTTTAATTGCGTTGCTCACTCCACTGCCGAAGTTCTACGCTAAAGAACTTCACGAGGCCATGGTCGGGATCGGTACCGACGAAGGCGTCCTCATCGAAGTAATGTGCACTATGTCCAACTATGAGATCCACAGCATCAAACAAGCATACACAGCAAGTAAGATTACTTTAATATAATATTAAACGCATTTCTCTGATTGTGTTTCTAACGGTGAGTGTTCCATAGTTCCGTCGTGTAATAAAAATGAAACCCGCAAGATTATAATTTGCGTAATTACCGGTGGTAGGACCTCTTGTGAGTCCGCTCGGGTAGGCACAACTACATTGCCTATTTCTGCCGTGAAGCAGTAATGCGTTTAGGTTTGAAGGGTGGGGCAGCCGTGGTAACTATACTTAGAACTTATAACTCAAGGTGGGTGGCGCATTTACGTTGTAGATGTCTGTGGGCTCCAGTAACTACTTAACACCAGGTGGGCTGTGAGGTCGTCCACCCATCTAAGCAATAAAAAAAAAGATTTATTTTCTATTACTTTTCTAGAATTTATTTTTAAGTTATTCAGTGTCTATAACAGACGATAGCCGCAGTTTTGTTAATTTTTGGGTGGTAAATTAACGCTAAGTTAACAGTAGGTACCATGCAAGACGTCTTATTTAGTTGTCAACAGAGACTAAAAACGGTTAATATCTTCTAAAGAATTTGTCATATATGTGTGATACTTCCGTAAATAGTTATGCCCTACTCTATATTAGCTATTTATGGTGGCATCACACATACGTGTGACAAAATTCTTTCAAGAACTAATCTATTTATTGTCGAAAACTAATCACATTTTCTTTACATCATATTTATTACCTAAGCGACCGAATATGTGTTTGAAGGGTATTGCGTTATTCAAATGTTATTGAAAACTCGCCCTTACGCCTCGAGGTGGTATAGTTTACGTGTTCCCGTAATCACTAACGACCGGCAGGCACAGAGCTCTTTTAACCGTGGAGATCGTTTAAGTAATATTATGTCTCTTGCGAGAGGCGATATTTGGAAACTGGACATGTGTTATTGTATTACTAAGAAACCTTCAAATTGCTATATTTTTTAAGTTATGTCTGAAGGCTATCCTGAATATTTGTGTGCACTAGATTTTTTTTAAGTAACAAGTATATAGAGTTTCTAGTTTTTTAACGTAAAGGATCAGATTCTTGTCATTGAAAATTTACGAATTTCTTTGTACTATTTCGCTATGAATTAGACAGAGAGAACTCGCTAAAATTTAATATCTTGGTAAGAACCTAAAAGTATTATCGTCCGTCCTTAAGGGTCAATTCCCACTGAAAGAGCAGCGGCCGGCAGCGTCTTTTTGAGGCAAAATATTACAAACTATTTTGAATCTTATCTACGTGATTAAAAAGTTCATAGTCATTTGAAGGCAAAGGAGGGGTAGCTTGGCGTCGCGAGGCTGCACGAGCCTTCTACCGACTAGTCAAAAGAGGCGCCGCGCGGCTGATCGCGGCGCAGCTAGCTGACGTGCGGCCGACCGCGGTGCAGCTGACAGACTCGCGGCTGCGCGCGAGCGACCATTTCATACCCGCCCGCCCTGCCGCTTGCGCATTTCGCGTCATTTTATTAGAGGGTATCTTGTTCTTCTTCTACAGNACTATGCCGTTGAACAACAACATTTATTTGCCGGATTTTATTTTTGTTCACCATTCACTCTGCTATTCGCGTATTGTTATTCCTAGCGCAAGTATACGTGGAAAAACGACTATGAATTTACTCGAGATTAAAATCATGGAATAGGTTATTCCTCGTATAGTTACTCGAGTTTAAATTTAAGTTTGGTCGAATCCGCCCTGAGTAATAGTGGAACATTGACACATACACACCGATATTGTATAAAAAGGGAAAGAGAGCGTGTTTGTTTCCCTTTTTTTTGTGTGCAACTGAGAAGCGAAACGGGACATCATCTGCATTGTGTTGCCACTGTTACCAAGTAATATGTTAATAATCACGTAGATTATTTCATAAAAAATCAAATAGCGGGTTACCGCTAACGTCGTTTTCATATTAAGCTTGCACGTCGTCTGAACATCAATATGTATTCAGTTAAACCCGCTGAGTTTCTGGTCATAATGTCTCAACGTGTCGAAATTCCGATCGGGTAGTACCTAGCACTGGCGATACAGCTGCTCTTGGACTCTTAAGCTTGCTACGGACGTATTTGGCAGTTTCTGGCAAGACCTGTCTGAACTAGCTCACCCATCCTAGTCAAGCTGTAAAAGTCTTCGGTGAACCAGTAATACGTATTTCCTAGTAAAAACAGCAGGACAATATCGCCTTCTCATTGGAAGGATCTTCTCTACGTCCTCCCCTATAAGATTTTTCGTATTATAATTCTTATTAGCGTGCAATTAATTTAAGGACAATTTTAATATTAAATATGGTATAATATTAAATATAGCTACTGTTTTACTAATGGCCGGAAAAGGTCCGTCATTACCAACCAGATTCGCGGTAAACTGCTTTATCGGAACTTATCACCGCCACCGACGTTCGTTGCTAAGTTCGGAACCTCTGATATCGCGGAATGAGTAATTGAATTAGAATAATAATTTGATGTAAATATTGTAACTTACACATCGAGATTAGAACCACGAGTACGTTCAATTTAATATTTTCAGAATTGTTTTCACGTGTTACATACGAATAATTACGTCACACTATTCAAAAAATTTTATGATCTAATTATCGAGACAGAGATGGCTGAACTTATTATTTGTTTATATCGTCTGGTATTACCCTCGGATCAATGGTCATCTAATTAACTTTGACCTTCGCTTGAAAGTAATGTAATTTTGTTAATGTACCCACAAACGAGCTATGGGAGATAGGTGTGCCATTGATTAATAACGAACATGTATTTTCTAATATCTAATTAATCAATTTAATTAGTTTATAATTAATATATTTTTTTTAATTTCATTTATTTATTATTCACTATCTTTTTGTACATTTATTTAATCAATAATTGCAAATAACATAATTCTAGTGAATTTAACATAAACAATATCAAACCCGCAACGACTGCACGTGAATGCTCAAAATTAAATCTGGGATTGTTTTTTGTAATTAATAAATAATAATTATCTTCTTTTTTTTTTTTTTTTTTGTTTCTTGTTAGTGAAAATAGAGTCTAAGATTACTTTAAAGGCGAGTGTTTGCTAGTCAGTCAAGTAGTATTTTAATTCAATACTCAGCCTTAAATGAGGTTGTTGCTTTACAGCGAACCTACAGATTGGAGGCTAAACATTTAAAGAAAACCAGCACATTATAATTCTCAATATGTTTTTTTCAGTTTATGGTAAAATCCTTGAAGACGATATACGCGGTGACACATCGGGAAATTTCAATCGTCTGATGACATCCCTTTGCGTGGTAAATATTTTATTATGTAAAGCAAATATTATGGTTAACATTTTTCTTTACAATTATTAGTAATAAATGATTTTACTAATTCACAGGGAAATCGATCTGAAGATTTCACGGTCGATCAAAATAGGGCACGTGACGACGCCAGAAAACTACTTCAAGCTGGTAAGTTTGGGTTTATTTATTTAAGTACCCCTTAAATAGTGTTAATCAAATCTAATAACTTGATATGAATACAAGCTTAATTTATTAAGGGTATCCCACACTACGATTCTCAAAAATTACCCAATCACACCGTATACTTTTTCACATAAAAATACGCTATAAAAATTACCGAATACACCGGCCTTCGTATACCAGTGCTTCCCAAACTTTTTCGTTTCCGTATTCCTTAGTAAAACTTTCATTTATGGAGTACCCCTTCACCGATAATTCCATACTTACTCTTAAAAATGCGTCATATTTCTCTTAACAGACTTAAACCTAGGTAGGCGGATAAAGAAAGAAATTTCAAGGTATTTTCCCTTACTTTAATTATTGGTAATAAGGCTCATTTTAAACCACTTATTGCAGGCATAATACATAAAACAGTTAACTTCAATAAATTAGAATCTAATGTCTAATTTATTTAAGTTAACTGTTTTAACTTTTTACTACTACCGCCATTACCGATATAATTTTCACGTACCTCCAGTGGTGCGCGTATTGCAGGTTGGGAATAGCCGCTCTAAGCCACGACGACTTCTAAAACTTTGGACTTTTACATTAAAACAATGACATCATCAATATTTAGGAAATCTAGTGACGTATACTGATGTATGTAACGCGTGATGTGAGTCACTTTGTAAGTGTTTATTTTCATACGTCACTGCTCCGGTGTGACGCTCTCTGATTCACGAGGTCGTTTAGTACAGTCATCTTTTGTTTTTGTTTACTCATTACGGCCGTGAGACTTGATGAAGTCTTACGCTTCTGAAGTTCACACTTGTCGTTGTCGTGATTATAAACTTTCCCGGTATACAAAATGATCACTTTGTAGTTTACGTGGTTAAGATCGTAAAATGAGAAATAGCTGAGACTAACTGTACTCGCCCGCTTCGCTGCCCATTTAAAATTAGCATTATTATTTATTGTCATTATTATTAGGGAGTCCAACACTCGTATAAATATTAGCGTATCTATTAAGTACATGTATTTTTTACATGGATACCAAGTTTCAAGTCAATCGGATGCATGGTTCAGTAGTTATAACGGAACATCCGTAAAAACCACTGTAGATTTATATATTAGTATAGATTTTGCATAAGTCGTTTTTTTTATTTCTTCTTTTTATGTTCGATTGTTTTTTTTTTAGACTCTGCTTCCAGAATTATAATTTTAAGATTAATTATTTGAAAGATATCCAACTCTAGAAGGGGTCGCATATCCGATCTTAGTTTATTTTGTAATATTCGTTACGCATACATTAGGAAACAAACGTTGACACAAACAAAACCACAAGCGGCAAGCAACACTTGGACTGCATTAAAGATTTTGTCTTTTTGATTCAATATTGATCTTTATTTGTAGAGACTTTGAATGTGTTTCTGAACGCCTGTCTTTTGTATCGGATTATTTGCTCATATTGTATAGATTGTGTGTAGATTAAAAAACGAGAAATAAAAAGAAATATGAAAACAGAAAACGCTTAAGAATATAGTATTGTCGTATCGTACACTGCATTTTTGAGGCTAGGACGGACGATACTATTAATTATGAAGTCCGGTTATGAGGCAATCGAAAACGAAGACCGATAGATACGGTTTTTTTTTTTTGGTCTAGAGGAAATCGCCGGACTCCCACCCTCCACTGGGGATGGCGGGCGGGGTATGTCGGAGTCGACCGACTAAAACCTCCTGTCGCTCAACAACCCACGTCCGAGCCTCTCATGAGACAGAACTCATGAAAAGATAAATACGGTAGATTGCTATTAGAAAAAAAAACCCACTAAACTCAATCATATAACGCACGGGGTCAACGTTCTCGTGTGACTACTTCTCATTAGATTGCCGTTTCAATAAATTTAGGTAAACTTGTACAATCGGAAGTTAAAATATTCTTAGAAACGAATGTTATCGCTTACTTTCACTTTCATTTTAACTAAACTACACAGTCGAGACGTCAATCTAAAAATGTGTTGAATTGCTTTTGATCGGTCCCAATAATGATAGCGACATTAACATTTTTGTAATATTTTTATGATTTGGCAAAGGAATTTACAGCAGATTAACCGTCTGCACGTCTAAAGTAAAATAAACGGTTTTTATCACCATTGGAGTTCCTCAAATATTCCTACAAAGTCTTCTCTAACTTCTCTACAAATCTACCCTGAATTGTCAAATTATTTATTCTTCTTATGACTTCTTATTTCCATGGTTCGCGTTTGGACCTATACCTGCTGCCAAATAAATAAAAATAAAAATATATTAAATACCATTGTAGTTATAATATTATAACTAAAAGTATATAAATAAACAAAAAATAAATACGGATATTAATAGTCAGCTAATTAGTTTTTTATCTCTACGAATTATCCTCTAGTTAGCGACTTTATTTTTGCCTATGTACTACCAGTGTCATCGAAGAGCTATTTGGCTTCAGCGGGTATGCCAGCGACCTCACGGGGCTCAGTCCCATGAGACAGCTAACATCTGCACCGAGCAGGAGCAGTGTTTATCTGAATCTACTATCGGATCGACCCACCGAACAGAACAATGGGTTCTGTTATGTCTATAAATTGCACGTAATATAAATTGCAAGTCGTATCCTTCGTCGCATTGTTAGCGTCCTCTCTGAGTTTAAAGCCTTCGTCAAACAGAGCGCGCGTCAGAGCGCTAAGCTGACGCCGCGCTATGACGCCGAGATGTATTGTACTACTATGGTAACATACCGTCAAACAGAGCCCCAGCGCTATAAGTACGCAGCGCTCTGTCGCGGCGTTAGGACGCTTTGACGTCAGGCGTTGTAATTTTTTACAAATTTTATTTGAGCGTCCGAGTGAATGTGTATTAAAATACTAGATAATGCCCGAAAAAATTATATAAATAGTTAGAAGATACCCATGCTTATACGATGCCACATCTGAATCACTCGATTTCTTAATACTTTTAAATTTTCACACTGCTATCGAGGGCACTATGATTTGGCGAATGCGTTGCGTCAAGGAGCGTTAGACTCATCTAGTCAATTTGTGTGACATGAAAAGAGCGCGACGTTAAGTACGCGGCGCTAAGTACGCGTTCTGTTTGACGAAGCCTTAAGTTACCACGTGTACTTATATATATTATTAAATCGTCAGGTGAACTTCGGATGGGCACCGATGAATCGACGTTCAACATGATCCTGTGCTCTCGCTCGTACCCTCAGCTGGCGGCCATCTTCCAGGAGTACGAATACTTGACCGGACACGAGATCGAGCACGCCATCAAGTCTGAGTTCTCGGGGGACATCGAGAAGGCCCTCTTGACTATCGGTGAGATAATTTACCTAAGGTCGTTTTAATGATTTATGACTATTCTCAGAGTGACTCGGTGGCGCATTAGTGCCCCTGATGGCTGGGTTCTATTCTCACATCGGGCAAATATTGGTGTAATTAACAATGTATACGTATTTAAGTATGTATGTAAATCAGTACGTGGTTCCCACAGTTTGGTGTTCAATAGTTTGGAACTAGATGAAGGTGTGTAACTCGTCTCCGATTAATTATTATTTTTATTATTCTTATATTGAGTACTGCTGCTGAGTCGTTGGTGCAGAAATAGACGGAATTTTCGTAGCAACCCCTATGAGCTCACAATGGGCTCTATCACGAGTAATTGCGCGAACTATCCAACGTGAATAATTCGTCGAAATGATTGCACCATTTGTTATGTTATGAATGCGTGAGCGTGCGCGTGTGTACGCTACGTGTGCGTTTGTGTGTGCGTGTTTGTATCCGCGCACACCCGTTTCACAACCCGATCCTGCTCCATCCACACTACATGCTCGAGCTATCTTTTTTTAAGGGTTTTTTGACCTGGTAACTAAGACCTTTAAGTTCAGTCTTATTTTAATTTTAATGAATTTTTTTTTATATTAAGAATGAAATGAGATGAGATGATATGGCATGAAATATAATCTCAGTAAAATGGTCGTCATTTACTGAGACTTTTTCAGTGGTATTTTTTGGATGATCCCAAGAAGTTATGTTCAGCGGCTGTTGCATTGTGGTGAATAAGAGTGGACTGTATTTATTAGTTTGATATCTTTATTAGTCCACAATTGACAAACTAAAGATATATGAATATAAGAAATATGAAATCGATGTGTCGCCCTTAGCGGCTGGAATTGAAAAGGGGTAAAGCGTCATAGCGGACGTCGCTTGTTGACACTTTTGACGTTCCGAATTCAAACATACTCCCCGGCTTTGTTTCATTTTCCGACATTTGTGCACTTTCACAGATACACTAAACAGTTAATAAACCGCCGTTCTTACACATTTGAACCTGAAGAAACACTAAATAGACAAAATAAAACAAATCACTTCATTAATCGCGTTCCCGCCAAAAAGTCGCCCGAACCATCTGAACCTCCGTGCTCCGTAGGGAGGCCTAAGTACCGCTATGGAAGTGGATTTACGTGGGCTCCAACACTGAGTTTCTCAATGGGTCGCGTTTCCGATCCGGCGGTAGATTCTGCGAAGCACGGCTCTTGCTAGGGTTCGTTTTAGCAACATCGTCAGGTTTGAGCCCCGTGAGCTGACATAGTCTCTCTAGAACTCTAGACCATCAGCTTAGGTAGGAAAAAAAGTGAGCTCCAAGTGCCGTACTGGCAAGATGTTGCGCAGCGCTGGGATGAATGGCGGTGTTTACTGTTTATTGCCAAGATCCATCTTGGGGTCATAGCGCCAGCAGTAGTAATAGTGCGTGTGTGCGTGTGCGCGCGTCAGTGTGTGTGGGTGTGTGTTTTTTGTTGCCCTTGTAGGCATACGAGCATACGGCCCACCTGATGGTGAGTGGTCCCCGTCGCCCATGGACTTCAGTAATGCCAGGGGCAGAGCCAAGCCGCTGCCCACCGTTCCTCGATCACCAGTACTCAATTAATATCATGCTCAATATGTGTTTTACAGTGAAAGTGGTCCGCAACAAGCCGCTGTATTTCGCGGAGCGTCTCCACAAATCGATGAAGGGCCTCGGAACGAACGACAAACAGCTCATTCGCATAATGGTGACCCGCTGCGAGGTCGACCTGGGCGACATCGTCGAAGCCTTCCAGACGAAATACGGTGAAACATTGCAGAGCTGGATCGAGGTAGGCGGGCGTATCTTTTTAACTCGATTGTTAATAGAACGAGCTAGCGGCCTGTTGTTACTAGAGAGAGATAGAGAGAATACACTTTATTGCACACCAAAACACAATTTACATTCAAAAAACAATAAAAAAAAAGATACATATCGACGCTTGAAAGGCAAACGTGACTAAGCGACAATGCGTGAACTTTACAGTAGACTAATTGAAAGTTGTAATACCTGAAAAAAAAACTATTTTAACTAATCTAGCTTTAAGGTTGAAATTATTTTAATATACCTAGAAATATATTCTTTTTGCGCATCGAATATGGTTTATTGCCTATAATTTATGTACAAAGCAGTTATTGTCGCTTAGTCACGTTGGGTTTCAAGCGTCGATATACTTTGAATATTTTTAATCTAATTGTCTTTAAATTTCAGGGAGACTGCTCCGGTCACTACAAGAAATGCCTGTTAGGTCTTCTGGGTGCATATTGAATGTAAATGCTTCATCACAAAACAAATTTTTAATTTATTACCCTCTAATAAAACGCGTAATATTCTGTGCTAAAAACTAAATGCAATTATAAATTAATATTTTAAAACGATTAAATCGTTTATGATGTAATTTAGATCTGATTTTTTGTAATTTTGTGATTTTCTTCAATAAAACTGTTGTAACAGCTCAAAATATAAAATATATCTGTAACTGTACAACGAATCTCGATCGTATGCCACATACAGAAGCTCATACATGTTGAGCTCACTTTTTGTAGTGTAACATTGATCTGTACAACAAGAAAAATGCTTTGAAGTCGATAAGAGTTAAGAAGATCGATTGATTTATAATAATCTAAAATTTGTTTATAATTGTTGCAAAGTACGACTGCGCGCCGCCCTTATTTGTGTGAGTGACCAATCTGTATACGTGTCAATGTGGGCTACATATATGTAGCTAGCTAAAGCTGTCCACTGACTGCTCCGTCGGTTACACACACTAACGAAAGTGTGTATTTACTATTACAATTACAAATAAAGGCCACGCACGCTCGTACTCTGCAACAACTATACAATAGTAGTATTACAGAATTGGCCTATTTAATGTGCTCGACACGACTCCAAATTGATTGATCTCAATCCCACTTCACCGTCAAAACATAAACGGCGGGAGAAAGAGGAAATGGCGTAACCTGCATTTTGGGCTAAATGACTTTGTATCTTATTGTATCACACGTATGGCTCTAGTACAAAATTGGGTTTTTCAAGTTACGACAATTCCGCTTTCTATTATGATTGAATATGATGATTTCAAAAAGCACTGAATAAAAAAAGGAATTATTAATTACCTTTATATGAGTATGCCATTAAATACAGGCATTTTCTAAGTAATAATAACCTATGTATCGAGAAATCTACGTTTACCAAAGTATTAGAACAACGCGAGTGTCACAAGAGACTATTTGATTTAACCCGCTCCTTTATTTTAATATTTTTCTAGTAAGAAAAAAACCTATTATATTTTCGATGCATATATGAGTCGACTATTATCAAAGCCGGCAATGTGACTTTTGGACAATTATTGGTAAATCAGAAAAACGAATTATTGACTTTGTATTCCATTGACAGTCACAAAACTCTTCTGAACGACATCTTAGATAAATAACAGGTTAAGTATTAACCTTTATTTAATGCAGGTATGTATACGTATTCTTTGAAGGAGACGATTATATTCAAATCAATCTGTATTGACATATCAATAACATTTTTTTGTCCAAATGCACAGATTGCCACCTTTGATAATAGACGACTCATATATAATAATATATTTTGATTTAAAATGTTTGTTCATAAAAAAAGTTTTGATCTGCTGATAAATAAATCTCATTGTGAAAACGTTGAATAGCAGCACCCATATGTTTTTTTTTTTTTTTATATAATATACATTTTTGTAATGTCAAAATGAATATGGTGCCTTGCTATAAATTTCATTGTGCCTGAAATGATCTATATATTTTTGAATTATATAAGGAATTATGCCCCAACTATGTCTATGAATCTATTTTAGTTATAAGTGCCTAAATATTTGTATTGCCTTAAGGTATTTCTAGAGGGGAGGTTCGACATAATTCAAGCAAGTATCGCTTTCATACGAGTTCGTATATTTTTATACTTTTACGCTGGGGATCGGACCAGGCATACCTTTACTTAGCTTCTGTTTCAATTTTTATGCTGAATTTATTGTCTAGTTATGTATAATAAGAATTTCTATGAAACAATCACAATTTGAAAATGTGATTTCATTAATCGACCTTATGCATCTGATTTTAAGAAATGTTTGATAAAAATATTCATAGTAATGTTTGGTGAATTATATAGAAAAACGATTTCCTCTTGGTCTTATGATTACGCCAAAAAACATGAAGAAATTTATAACATGATTTAATTTGATTGACGATTTTGAAGTTATTTACTTTGTATTAACAAAAGTTTAGTAATAGTTTTATTCGCATTTACAACTTCATTTTAAGTACACACCTATACTAAGAAATTATACTTTAGCTTAAAATCACAAATTTGAATAATGTCGTAATAAAAATAAATTATTATTCCATTTTTATTAAATTAAAAATAATATTAAATACACGATTCAGTGATTATCACTTAATTTTAATTAGAATTAATAAAACCCACCATTTGCTTTGTTTGCGAATTCTATGTATAAAAGCACTTGTGTAAATAGTACAAGTGTCGATCAACAGATGTCGCTTTTATAAAAGTTTACATTTTCTGTAAGTCTGATTTAAAAAAAAAAAAAAAAAAACTTTTATTCGAATTAAAACTGAATTTGTCAAAAGCTAAGCGGTTGTAAAGATCCGAATAATTTCGCCAATTTAAATTTTATAATGTCTTTTAAATGTATTTTATCGTAATAAAAAAAAACTAGATGTATTTGGATTGTTTCTTTTGATACCTTTTTATTCATAATATATTATTAGCATGGTGATTTTGTTTATGAATCGATGAAGATTATTTTCTTTTTAATAAGGTACTGAAGCCTGTTTATTATATTACAGACACGTATGGACACGATAATGTGAATTCCCTTATTCACACTGTGGCATTCATTTGGAATCTGTTTAACATCAATGATTTGGAAAATTACATCGGTACATGATCTTTTTATGTTATGGCAATTAGATTCGTGCAACGCCAATGATGCCAGTGTCGAATCTATAAATTCTTCAATTATTAAATATATACATAAGTATTCTGTGATACCTATAAAATATATATGGAACGAAAGAAGTCTAGAACAGCTGGTCTGGGTACAATCACCGCGCAATTGATACAAAACCTGCAAAAATAAAAGTGTTAGTATCCTATGGGGTTACTAGTGCGACAAATTCACTTACTTATCTTTTCCACTTTTGTGGTCCTATTAGGTATTTCTGTGATCATTTTATTTATTTTCTTCTATGTATAAAGTATGTATTTGAAACCTCTGAAATAATAAAATGAACATAATAAACTCGAGATTAAACCGCTAAAGTACCTATTTTCAATCATATTACGTAACTTTGAACAACGAGAACCCTTGCTTGAACATAATCACATTATCCCCACCATGAAATTACAAAGCAATCCTTCAGTCGTGGTCACGACAAGTCCAATTAGGAATCGATCACGGCAAATATTTATTGAAGGCACCGGAATTAGTTCATAAGTTAATTAGCAGCGTCACCTCATTCCATACGGCTCGTTGATGTTTTCATTAATCTTCCGGGCGCGGACTTAGAGTTTACTTAAATAAATAGGTGAACGTAACGCCAAAATTGCTTTTATGCGGGTTTTAGGGTACGTTAGGGTTTGATTCAGAGATGAGATAGAACAGTAACTGTACCCGCTATCCTACACTTACGGCACCGCGTGCGTCGGCTGTCTCTTCGGCTATCACTTTTGTTTCTAGTGTTTTTTTATACGTTGACCAAACTCTATAACCGCACGTAAAGCCGATTGCTTGTGTACAAACAACTGTTTCTTGATATTAATATTAAAATTTTCATTGTACCATATGAATTTCCTGTCGTAATTTTAAAATTTTTATTCATCTATGCCTGTACAAAATAATATCCATGTTTCACATCGGCTAGCCTTCGCATGATGGCTCAATTATTAAGCGTAGTTAGTACATAGCGCCTCGTTGAATTTTTGGTACTTTATTTAGACTTGAGGGCCTGCGTATACTTTGTCTGGTACCTTAGCACCAGAGAAATCTCTATCTTGTATCATTTTTTTGTGGCGAGAGGTGCTATGGTAAACGGTGCGGCGCGTTACTATTTACAAAGAAGATTCATAATTAAAATCCGCGAGCAACGGTAATCACACAATCAAGTCGGACACGTACAACAACAATAAAAGCAACAGTTATGCTTCACAAATGAATTATACAATGTGTTAAGATTCTGGGAGTTTCAATTTTAATACAAGATGCTTAGTTACATGCTTTAAGAACTAGCTCAATACTCATTACTACTGGCTTGACTGGTATGCATTTAGAAAAAGCATTTAAAGCCCGTCATTATTCTATCGCTTAATACCAATACACCTTTGGGGGTAACGACAAACGGAAGATTTTCCACCGAGCGGGGAGACATTGCTCGGTATATCTAGATTCCCAATGCTTGTTCCGAACTTGTAAATATGTAAGCCTATCTTGAATACGTCTAGCGAGATTCAGGCATATATAAATATAAATATCTTGTGTACTATGATGGCTATATGCCACATCATTCTCTTCCGAGACCGGATGTGTTACCAACAAGTTAGCGTTGATCGTTCTGAAATTAGTTTGCAAGTGTTGCTCGAAGTCTGCAGTTAGTCGTGGCGTGATTGTTAAAAAAAACGCAAACTTGCCACGCGCGAGATGTGTGATCGCAATTGTTGAAGATCCGGTCTTATAGTGTGGGCTGTGGTGGCATAATGAGGCAGTGACATTGTTCGGTAGACCGACGGTCCGAATGTTATTGTTACACAGCTCTCATATGTGTAAACTTATCTTCAAAATGTCTAGCGAGATTTAGGAATTTGTCAAATATCTTGTGTTCTGTTATGGCTACCGACTATAAATCGAATACCATATCCGTTTAGTAAACACTTTATAACTCAAATACAATCTGCCTATTTTGATTATTTACAATCACAAAAACGATATCTAGTGTATCTGACCAATTCATATGATTGTCATAATAATTTAATATTTGAATTAGCCCGCATATTCACATTCCTGGCCGTTCCGATGCGAACTAATGGCATTCGTTTTGACTTGTGGAAACAGATAACAAACATCCGCCTAATTAATTTCAAATATTGCGGTTTGGAAAATGCATCAGTGCCCATTATTGGCATCGAGTGAAATATTTTCCGTAGAATAAATGTGTTCCTCGCGGTTTTAAAGCTAGAACAGCCAAAATATAATACATTTGAAACTTCTTAGCTGAATATGGTGATGAACAATGGTGACATTCACGATGTGATGCCTTCGCTATCATTTAAGAGAGAGTCGCTAGTCTATCCACTTAGAGCAATAAAAATCTCTTACAGTAAAGATCCCGCTAAAACACAGGAAGCACTTCGTTGAATGTTCGAAGTTATTAAACGTAATAAACCGGTTTATATATCAGTAAAAAATAATATGAAGATGTCAGAACCATGTAAGAAACTTTTTACCGCTATTAAAATAAACGTTTTTTTTTATAGCTTAGATGGGTGGACGAGCTCACGGCCCACCTGATGTTAAGTTGTTAGCGGAGCCCATAGACATCTACAACATAAATGCCGCCACCCACCTTGAGATATGAGTTCTAAGGTCTCAGTATAGTTCAACAGTTGCCCCACCCTTCAAACCGAAACGTATTACTGCTTCACGGCAGAAATAGGCAGGGTGGTGGTACCTACCCGTGCGGACTCACAAGAGGTCCTACCATCTGTAAGAAAGGGTTCGACTTGCTTCGTTGGCTACAGACAATCACTTGTCGAAGAAAGAAACGAATATTAATTTTATGCCCAAGACTTGCGGAAATTCAAGTAAATATAATAGCCGGCAAACTTCTTGAGCATTTGTTGACGTAGTGGGGGTAAGTTTGCGCATGGTACACTCACGTGCAAAAACATTATTTACTCTGCGTCATAATGCAATTAAATTATTAAAATCAACATATGTATTTATTTATATATTTATTAGAACATCAAAAAATATAGGTTAATAATTGTAATAATTTAATCTTGGGGTAAAATAGATATTCCTTCTATTAAGTCAAAACTAGAGCTGTTGCCAGGTCTTCGTTCCGTTGAAGCGAAGCTGGTATTTGTAATTTTTTTTTCGTTATCATAATCTTGACCATTATC